TTGTGTCTTTATTGACACCATCTTCCGACTTCATGGGTTGCCCCGTGAACTCGTATCAGACAGAGATCCACGATTCACTGCTGATTTCTGGCGTTCCGTGTTCAAATCACTCGGAACGCGCTTGAAGATGTCAACATCTGATCATCCAGAGTCAGATGGTCAGACGGAACGTGCCAATCGTGTCCTTGAAGAGATACTTCGAGGATACGTACACTCCTTTAAGAGTTGGAGTGAGTTTTTGCCGATGGTAGAGTTTGCCATCAACAACTCGGTGCATGCGTCCACGACACATACACCGTTTTACGTGAATGGCTTGCGCCATCCGCGTGTACCCACCTTACTAGAGTGTAACTCTGGTTTAGGGGGAGGGACTCGCGCGAGCAAAAAACCGATTTGGTTCACGCTCATCACGCTCTGACGAAGAAGTCATTGCGTTTGATGCCGATATCGATAACATCAATATCGAAGAAGATGATGCCAGTGAGAGTGCGGAAGCCCTCACTGAAGACAATGATCCCAGTGAGAGTGCGGAAGCCCTCACTGAAGAAAAGGTTGTTGTCGCTGCAGTGCGCTCACAGCACACTGAAGCTAACGAGTCATCAGATGAGTTCATACTGGCTCGTGAAACGGTAGTCCGTTTTGTGCAAGACTCCATCGCCGAAGCGGTGGATAAGCAAAAGCAAAACGCTGACAAGAATGGAAGGGCAAACACTCTTTTATTTAATAAAGGTGACTTAGTCCTACTGTCTACGGTTAATCTACCAAAACATGTAGTGACTAACTTGGGTAGCAGTAAACTACTACCCAAGTACATTGGCCCATTTCGTGTATTGCACCGCCTAGGCAATGCATACACGATCGAGTTACCACGTAAGATGCGAACGCATCCCACGTTTTACGTTGGTCGGCTTAAGCCGTACCATCAGTACGCTGCTTCTTCCGATGAAGAACGCCCTTGCGCTCAAGCATCTCGCAGAGAGCCTTGTGCTCCCGATGGTGGGCATCAACAAGGGTCTGAAGAGCAGTTATCTCAGCCCGAGACCGATCAACAATCCCACGAGCTACCCTTAGCTCGTCACGAAGAGATGTCAGAGATCTCTCGTTCTCAAGCTGAGCAAAGGCAAACTCAGCTCGATGCTTCGAGGCAGTGTCCGCCATTTGGAGACGCCTATTCCGCTCATGCTCGAGATCGTCGCGTAACCCTTGCGTTACTCGATCAAAGAAGCTCTCGGGAACACACCGATCCACATGATCGTGTGGAGAGCGTCTTTCCTCCTCCTCCACCTCCATTAGAGGACTCTCGCGGTGGCCAGCGCTATCTAGTAGAGCAGCTGTTGAACCACCGCGACGTGAACGGACGTCGGACGAGTTACCTCGTCCGGTGGCGCGGCTATCCCCCGTCCTGGGATTCTTGGGAGCCCCGCTCCCAATTGATGGTTGACGTACTGGGTCTGGTCGAGCAGTACGACGCGACACATCCTGTGCCGCAGAAGGACCGCCGGAGAAAGTCTTCCCGGCACGGTCGTAAAGGGATTTCAGGTTGTCAATCCCTTCGTACATCTCAGTAGAGACACGTACGCGCCACCACGGGCTGGTAAGGAGGTAAGCCTCCTTAGGTGCTCGTGCAGAGTTGTTCACACAACATGGGCACGAGTCTCCCCAAGAGAGGCAGGGTAATCCTTTCTCCCTTGACAGACGATGCAGCTTATAGCGTGCACCTGTCGGGGTTCGCTTTTCAAACTTATCACGAGCTTTGATAAGTTTGTCGTTCCAAGCGTCACGACCTACATCCTCGAGATTATGGATGTAGGCGTTCCACGCCTGAAGTAGTGAGGGACCATCACGTTTGTGATTCCCACTGTACCATCGATGTCTGAAGAAAGCATCGATGAAGAACTCATGTTCAGCGCGATAGTCTTTCGCGCTGGGGTCAAGGTGATGAATCCTCGACGAATCGAACAAGCGTGTTCGATAACGATCACTCGTCGTCGCCGACAAGTGATCCATGACAGATTTAGGAGGCATCCATGCCTTCTTTTCTGGGGCGAGACGCAACACATTGCGGTCCCGCTCTTCCTGCGACGTGCCGACAGAAGTACTGGCACCTCGCTGTGAAGTGGTGTCCATTGGAGAAACGACACCACTATTAGCGCCCGAGTCTCGCGACCTCGAGCGCCTTCGCTTCGGCGATGGTTCATCTGACTCATCAGATGAACCAAAGATGCTGCGACGCAAAGCATCGTCCATGCCACGCTTGGCAGGCGGCTTGGATTCAATTGCCGTCGATACGGATCCGTCATCCGTATCAGGAGAGTACGAGACACCGAGCTCGTACTCTGTGAAGACACGAGTGTCTTCATGACCAGCGCCTGCATCACCAGGTGATACAGGCTGAGTCGATTCAGCAACCGATGGGACATCAGTTGCTGTAGTTTCTGCTTCGGCGTCCGCACAGAGACGTGCAGACGCGCTCTCGGCGGCCTTGCTCGCGCATCGCATGAGCTTGTTTACCATGCGATGAGATGTTGGAAAGTGGACGCGGACCAACAAGTGCAAACCCCGTCCCAAATGATTTGGGACGAGTATCCATTTAGTCAATCAGTCACTAAAGTGACTGATGGTTAAGGGGGGTGATGTAACGGGGTGAATCGTTACATAACAATTTATAAGAAATTGTTAATAGAATATAACTATAAGAGTTATATTCTCAGAATATTGTCATAAGGACAATATTCTGTAGCACTTCCAAGTAGTTCCTAATTGGTTGATATAGGCCATTATATCAACCAACGAAGACGCGCCACGACAGACGCACGCAATGAGTGGTGAGCAGATAACTGATTTACACATTTGTATTTAGACATAGTTAGATGAAGATAAATAGTGATTTATTGCAGACATTAACTATTATAAATACAGTTCTACTTTTTACTCTAACCAAGTACTCGCTTCTTCTTACCGTCTTCCTCTGCACGTACGAGTGTACGTGAAGTTACGAGGCACCGCCTTATTCTGTTATCAGAATAAGTAGCTTGTACTGTCACCAGTACAAGCTTCAGGGTGCCCCGTTACATAAACGACTCGTATAAGTAAAGGTAAAAAAGATAACTGTATTTAGTATAGTTAAGCTATCAATATAACTTTAATCTTATCGGACTATGTTAAACTACGTCGTCGTATGACGACAACCTGCTCACCGCTCATTGCGCGCGTCTAGCAGCGATTGGTGGTAATCTATGGTTGATATGTCTCACATCAACCAATCTTGGAGCAGCGAATGTACATTATCCAAAAGGGGATAATGTTCCTTCGATATTATCCATCTCGGATAATATTGGTAAAATATTGTCATGCTAGGCAATACTCCTATTGACACCGTTTGGTGTCAATTTCATGTAACATGCTACCTCCTTACATCATCCCCCCCTAACCATCAATCAGCCGTTAATTGAATTAGAATTGATTGGGACATGGTGACCACCTCTAGGTCACTCTGGGAAAGGAAGCACTTGTTGGTCAAATTCCATTCATTTGCCAATCCAACGCACGGTTTCCAAAAGTGCGCGAGCTGCTACTGCAGCAGCAAGAAGAGCGGCTACACGCATGCGTGCGGCCGCGGAAGTGCCTCTCACACCTTAGCATCAGGCGATTCGTCGCCTGTTGTCGTGAATCCTCCATGTGGTGAGTCACCACGTGCGACAGGTACATCCGCTGCGTCTGCAGCGGGTACCTCGAGTCGTAATCAAGACGAGTCTGAGATAGAGCTCATCTATTCTGGCGAGTCGGATGATGCATCCGACTCGAAGGCTACTCCTCACGCCTCGTAATAACCCGGGGCGGACGCTACAAAAGCCAGGCTGACTGGCTCTGGTCAGCGCGGCAGCATCATGACTGAGATCTTCGGATCGAGTTATTACTCCGATGAGTCTCCGCCTCACGCAAGTCCATCCAACAATAGGACGCGTGGAGATGGTGGTGATGCACATCTGCGTCACCATGAGCGAAGTAACTCAAGGGATCGGGGTAACACTGGTGCCAGTGCTCATGCTGACACCAATCAAGAGGCCATGGACCGAAGTGTCCTGCGCCACGCTCCTCAAGTGGAGTCACCTTGGATGCCTTCATCCAAAGAGTTGGACCGGTTGGCCAGCATGACCACCGAACGGGATCGAATCCCGTTGTTCGACTGTAGGAGGATTTGCCCTCCTTACTCCAGCACGTAAACCATCCGTGCTGAGGATTAGTTCTTCATCGATGCGTTCTTCGAACATCGGTGGTACAATGGCAACCGTGGTCGTGACGGTAAAGCCTTGGTGCAAGGATGGAATGCCTTCATCCATACCATCGAGTGCATTGGCCGTGAGGCGTAAACTTGATGCAGCTCGTATCAGGTATGAAAAGCTTAATACAGTCGGTGTACGATACAAGTTGCACCGAGAGTCAAGAGAGACAGGGTTGCCCTGTCTCTCGTGGGGTGATTCGTGTCCAGGTTGCCTGGACAACTCGAACCGTGCTTCTAAGGAGGCCTTCCTCCCTAATGATACCTACTGGAGGGCGCGCAACTCTTCCGAGATGGCCGAAGGGAATGACACCTTGCAATCCCTGTACTCGCGTTCGGGGAAGTCATTTTTCGGTGGCCCTTCTTCTAACGCAGCGGGTGGGTCTCGTCGTACTGCTCGACGAGACCAAGGACATCAATAATCAGCTGGGCTCCCAGATGTCCCAAGCTGGTGGATAGCCACGCCAGCGGACGAGGTAACTCGTCCGGACGCCATTCACATCGCGGTGGTTCAAAAAACGCTCCACTAGAAAGCGTTGACCACCGCCTGAGTCTACCAAAGGATGTGGTGGCAGCAGGAAAACCTGATCTGGCTCGAGGGTCGGATCAGCTTAATGTTCAAGAGCTAAACCGTGTAACGAAACAATTGCAAGATGACCTGGCTCATGATCGGACTCGGCGTTATGAGCTTCAGGATCTTGTAAGGGATAATTACAATTCCCTAACGCACGATTGTTCGGACGATCGTGACGCTTTTGCGTTCGCGCAGCTTGAAAACGAACCCTCGACTCGTTCTCTCGTGACGAGCTGGCTGCAGCTCGTCGAGGCATGGCTCAACTGCGTGATCAGGTCGCTTCGCTAGTCGACCAGACCAGCTCGTTGAAACGGGACCACTCGAGGGTGGTCTCGGCTCTCGACCGCGGAGGTGTTCTTCGCATCCCGAAACGGGCTCGTACTGATAGTACGGGCGGAGACGGCCACCGTAATACGTAGGATGCGTACGCATCTTACGGGGCAGTTCAATCGTGTATGCGTTGCCCATTCGGCGCAACACACGAAATGGACCGATGTACTTGGGCACTAGTTTACTGCTGCCCATGTTTGTCCTGCGTGTTTTTGGTAGAATTACTGTAGACAGTAAAACTGAGTCTCCTTCATCAAATGAAAGAACATTTGCTCTTCCATGTTTGTCTGCGTTTCTTTTCTGTCTGTCTAGTGCATCTGCAATAGAGTCTTGAGCGAAGCGGACAACCGCTTCGCGAGTTAGCAGAAATTCCTCTGCTGACTCATCCTTGTCAACAGCAGTGCGCTTCGTGTGCACAGCTAAAAGAACGTTGTCGTCACCAGTGAGGGTGTCATCGTACTCACTCTGGCTGTCATTGGCGATGCTAAATATACCAGCATCGTCGTCATCATCATCATCGGCATCCATGACGTCGACACCATTGTCGACGGGTGATGAGCAAGAACCAGATCGGTTTCTGTTCGAGCAAGTCCCCCCCTTTATACTAGAGATACACTCTTAGAAGGCGGGTAAACGTGGATGGCGTAGGTCATTCATGACAAATGTTGTATGCGTTGTCGACGCATGCACCGAGTTGTTGATGGCGAATTCTGCCATCGTCAAGAACTCACTCAAACTCGTAAACGAGTGGACATACCCTCGAAGTATCTCTTCGAGGACGCGCTTGACGCGTTCCGTCTGTCCATCTGTTTCGGGATGGTCAGAAGTCGACATCTTTAAACATGTTCCAAGTGAACGGAGCACGGATTGCCAGAACTCCGCTGTGAAGCGGGGGTCTCGATTAGACACGAGGTCACGGGGCAACCCGTGAAGTCGGAAGATAGTATCGACGAAGACACGCGTACAGCCCTGGGCTGTGATCGACTCCACTACAGCAACTTGATGTACTATGTTGCTGAACTGATCAACAAACACAAGAATACCAGTATTCTTGCTAGCGTCTTTGGGAAACACAAAGACGAAGTCCATCGAAACGGACTGCCAGCACTCTGCCGGAATTGGAAGAGGCTGCAAGGGTGCGCGGGATGAAGTACTAGGCTTCACCCGTTGACAAACCTCGCAAGCGCGAATTTATTTCCGCACAAACACACACTGGTGAGACCAGTAGAAGTCACGACTTACCGTGAGGCAGTTCTTTTCTCTACCGCGATGCCCACTTGTTGGGGCATCGTGACACTCATACATGATGCGCAATCGCAAAACATCGTGACACTCATACGTGATGCGCAATCGCAAATTATCATGAGCGGGATCGACGACACGAGGTGTGTTGCCGTTGACTGCTGTACAGTACATCATTCTGATACGAGCCGAATACCGTTCGGTTGAAGAGTGGTATTAAGACGTAAGCTTTTCAAATCTTGACGGCACGGACTAAACAGGTAATCCATCAATCGCAGAAGAGACTCATCTTCTGCGTATGCTTTCCGCACGTCGTTGAGCAGATTCGACGACGTAACACTCACTAATAGTGTCCCTACAGTGGGATCACCCCTACTGTTGGGTTGAGCAGTCGACTCCAAATCAGGCCGACGCGAAATAGCTTAAGCGACAATATTAAGTCGTCCTGGTTTATACTCGACGGAGAAGTTTTACTTTACGAAGAAAGACAGCCACCTCGCCATACGTTGCAAGAGGTGTGGGCTGTTTAGGCCGTGTGTAACGAAGCATGGTCGGTACAATCGATGAAGGGCCTATCACCTAAAAGATACACCCGAAACCTGTCCAGTGCATATTTCATGGCAAGGAGTTCCTTGTCATAAAATAAGCAATTACGATCATCTGCTTGCAGCTGACGCGATTGATAACAGACGACGCGCTCTATACCGTCTGAGTCGTACTGCATTGAGGCGCAGCCGATTGCAAAATGCTGGCGTCACAGACCACATGGAATGATCTGTCCTGATCTGCAATCGCCAACACAGGTGATCGTATTAAGCTTTTCTTGATACCTTTGAAGGAGTGATGACACTCAGCTCTCCATGACCACCTCTCGTTTTTCTTTAGCAGACGAGAAAGATGTGCATTCTTCTAGGCATAGTTGCTCGAGTAATGTGAAAGAACGCCGCTAAGCCAAGGATCTTTCGAAGTCCCTTGACGTCGACTGGAACATGCCATTCGCTAATCGCCTTGATCTTTTCCAGATCAGGGCGTACGCTGTTTTTACCCACGATGAAGCCAAGAAGTGGTATTTCGTTCGCTGCGAATATACACTTCTTAAGGCTGCAAACAACTTATGCTCTCGCACTAGTGTAAGAACTTTCCGGACGTGGATTTTATAAACCTCCACGTCCGTCTTTCCATCCATAGCCCGGCTATGGACGAAGACATCATCGAAAACCTCGGTGCGAAATCGCTCACTGATCGCAACAGATTCGTAACACATCTGTTAAACGTTGCGGGGGTGTTACTTAGCCCTTGTGGCATCAGTAGCCACGCCCAGAGCATACCACTGGGGGTGCTCACTGCTGTGTACAGGATGTCCCGTTCACGCATGAGGATCTGATAAAATCCATCCATCAAATCCATGGACAAAAGGCTGGTACTTTTTGCCATACCATTTATGATGACATCCTTTCTTAGTATCGGCGTCTGAGCCGGTGCCGTTGCAGCGTTCAATTTGTTGTATGCGTGTGGCCTTTCGCACACAGACGGTCGGAGAGCTGTGTGGGGATGTTGATTCCCTCACATGATTAGCCGCTAAACGATCGGCAAAGAATTTGTCGATCACTGTTACCTGCTCACGAGGCAGTGGCCACTGCTTCATGACACAGTATTTCGAACCAGGTTTCAGTTCTATCTCATGCCGAGTGCCTTTGTCCTTGGGCACTCCGGGCACGGAGTCCGGGAAAACGTCCCTGACTTTAAACAAATCCTTATACAAAGGTTTTAGCTTCAAATACTCCCAAGATTGAGATGTGTATCGCTTAATCCGGGTCTTCTCATCAAGGACACTCTCGTCCATAGATGAGCTACAGAGAACCCGTTCGTTCTCAGCAAACGCTTGCGCCGACCGAATATTGGCGACGTCCTCTGTGACGAGTATACGCAGATCCGCTTGATCTTGTCACTAAGCAGATCTCGCAAGAATCTTTTAGATTCTAGCGTTGGCAACTTGACTACCTCCGAAGCTGACTTCGGAGGTGTAACCAGATCAAGTATATAAGCGCCTACACGTGATCCGTCATTCACCAAGACATTCACCGTCTCGGTGCTTTCCTGGGAAAACACATCCGCAGTTGTTTGGGGATTTACAACCTCAACATAGGTCTCTCGGGAGTAATCACTCTCAGGAACGCCAGAACTTTCTTCCAATACGTGTTCTTACTGTGGGTGCACTACCACAGTCACGTCCTCTTCGATCGACTCTCTTTCAGTCTATCGAGCTTGCTCTACAATCGACTCTCTGATAGCGATCTTGCTTCAACGTTTTGTTCATCCTGAACAACACTAATCTTTACTCGGATGCACTCTTCTTGGTCTGCATCCCTGTTCCAGTCCACTCGATCTCTTCGAGTGGTGAACCTTCGGCACAGCCTTTGTCTCTACACAGGTGCCGGAAGCTTGTTTTACAGTATAGTGGCCTTCTACACTGTGATCTTGTGCAGTCATACTAACGACCGTACCACAAGCGAGGCCATCGCACTCACTCTTAGTACAGCCACACGCTTGTAAACGCTCCAAGACTTTCATCAGATGGCCATCCGATGAACAAACGACAGGCATCTTCACGGATCGATGCTGCCAGCTGATCCATGGCTGGTATTTTCTAAGCCATGGCAGACCTAGGATGACATCAAAATTGTCATCTAAATATGATACGATGAGTCATCATCGTACTGCTTTCCTTCTAGCGTGTAGTGGATTCCAACTACGCGTTTTTCTACTGTTACGGATGCGCCTGTAGCAAGACACACCGTCATCCTCGTTGGGGGGAACTCTCGCTCAACATAGTTGGGACTACTGTCCCCTAGCGACTGGCGTCGAGTGAAACTGTTCGACGCCCCACAGTCAACTAGGGCGCGAAGTGACATTCCACTTGTCACTTCGATCTTCAAAGTGATGAGGGACACCTCATCACTAGGGGCAGTAACACACAGCGACTGTGTGTTGGGGGAAATCTTCGTCAAGAGTCCTGCGAATTCTATTGACGTTGCTGGATCAGCAAGGTGCTCCGCCACTACTGACCGTGACCGTTCTTTGACGGTCCGACTTGCTGTCGCAGTTTAACGACATGGTCGGACCCACGCATTGGTCCTTTCCTTGGCCAACGGCTGTCATCACGTCCTGTCTTTGGACGTGATGCGGTGCTTGGGACACGACACTCATGAGCGTAGTGTCCAATCTTCTGACAGCGATGGCATCTTGCCGCTCGCTTGTGACTTAGAGAGCGAGAGTTCTCGCTCTCGATATAACAGAGGTCCATTGTTCCAGGACCTCCTGTTTTCTGTCGTCTTGTCGGACGATAGTTTGACGAGTTAGCCAGAGACTGTCTCAGGCTTAAGTCTTCTTGTTCAGCGTACGCTATCACCTTTTCCAGCTTATGGAAGTCCTCTCGGAACATGTAGGTCTTCACCGGCCCATCTACAAGGCCGTAGATGAACACGTTGATGAGCGTGTGCTCATCAACAGGGTTTTCCGTAACGCTACTTGCATGGTAGCGCAGGTGCTGTGCATAAGTGTGCACGTCACGCTTACTTTGCTTTAGCCTCAAGAGTGCATATCACCTCTGAACTCGGCTCTCGGCGTCTCAAAAGTCTCTTTAAGCCGAGACTTCAAGATCTCCAACGACTCAAACACGTTTGGGTCGTGAAGCTTGAGTCCTAAGGCCCAAGTCGTTGCTCGTCCCGTCAAATTTGACAGGGAGAAGGTGACTTGCATCTCGTCACCCTCGATGTGACGGGCCCTGATGGCGTCGTACAACTCGACGAACCATCTCAAAAGGGAATCTTCATCGGTTTCCTTGTACCTTGAGATATCAATCTTCAAGGTTTTGGGTCGACGCATGTGCGTCGGTCCGCCCATCGACTGATGAGAGCCTCTCTGTTGTAGCAAGGCTACCTTCTGTCTTTCGACGGCAAGTTCCCCTTTTAGGAACTTGTTGATAGCATCATGTTGCTGTTCTCTGTTTACATACTCCAACATGCCACTAGTGGCGTGTTTGCCCATGAACAAACTCATGCGGCTGACTACCTCCCATTCTGAGTCCCTCAGATGGGAGTAGCCTTCACGTGTGATGTGAAAGCTGTCGTCTTCTATGTCCAACATGTTCATGGTGGGCGGAATCTAAGTAGTCGTTGGACGGACTACAAAGTGCTACCAGGTGTAACGGGGCACTCTTTGTGTGGGGTGCCGCGAAAGTACGTGCAGAGGAAGCTAATCTACTTGAAGGACTAGGTCAAGTAAAGGTAAAAAGAGAACTGCATTTAAATATAGTCAACCTATCAATATAACTTTAATCTTATCGGACTATGTTAAACTACGTCGTCGTATGACGACAACCTGCTCACCACTCATTGCGCGCGTCTAGCAGCGATTGGTGGTAATCTATGGTTGATATGTCTCACATCAACCAATCTTGGAGCAGCGAATGTACATTATCCAAAAGGGGATAATGTTCCTTCGATATTATCCATCCCGAATAATATCGGTAGAATATTGTCATGCTAGGCAATATTCCTATTGACACCGTTTGGTGTCAATTTCATGTAACGGGCTACCCCGTTGCATTGAAAGTGAAAATTTAGCGCGCGCTTTAAATCCAAGGGTCGTAATTATTTCCTTTGTTGATGGAAAATTATCTTCGAAGGACCCATCGGCCTCCATCACTTTCGTGCTTATCATTGTTAGAGTTGCAGTGTTATAGTGTGAATGGCGATGCGTAGGACTGATCAATTTAGTTTTAAGTGCAAGCCCAAAGGATGAATCTATTAGTGACTGCGCGCAAGGTACGTGAAAAAATTCAGAACTTGATGTAGTAATTTGGACTGCATCTCTTATCTGAAGGGGCAAGCTATCGAGTTTGCTCTCCTATCTTTTTTTAATCCTATGTTAGCTGTCCGATTCACCCTGTTTTGTTAATGGGCGGTGGAAATAGTAAAAATGAGAGTTTATGAGAACATCTTAATTTCTTTATTTAAATTAGTGTATCGAATTTCTTCTTGTTTTTTTCGATGCGAATTACATTTATGGGTTCTATTCTATTTTTATTAAAATATTTACTTGGTTATAGGCGCACTACTCGTTTCTCAGGATCTTCTGCTTCTTTGTGATTATGCTGTTAAACACACGATAAGAATCTGCGCTTTCTTTGGCTGCTGGACAATGCCGAAGAGTGGGCACACACTGTTCCGTAAAGTACGCTTTATCCGCACTCGTCGGTTTACACACTTACTTTAAAGTGTCGAGACGATGGCGCCGGTAGTAGCTATGACGTGTCTACAAGAAATGGAGAATGCTCCCCTTCGGATGCTGGTACTGCCCAATGGTAGCGGTTCGCCAAGTGAGATGTTGCTGGATTGGGAAACGAGCTTTCACTCTGCAGGTCTAAGAGTGGAGCTGTGGGGCGCTCACTGGATGTGGCCGACGGCTGACGAGATTCGAGGGGACGCTGTCACTATATTGAAGGATCTCGTAGACGAGATGTGCACACAGCTAATCAGTGGATTTTTTGGTAAACCATATGTCATCGTCGGCCACAGCCTGGGCTCGTTGGTGGCGCTGGTACTGGCGCGTTCCCTCGAGCAGCGCAACTTGCCGATCCCTCGTCATGTTTTCTTCTCAGGAGCTGCGTGGCCTGGTAGGAAAGATTTGACTGAGGATCCGGATGATGTGGTTTATGATGAAGATCTACTGGAGGTAATAGAGCAGCAGGTGGGACAGATAGGTGGTCAGTTGCAGAGAATGTCAATGCTGAGTATTCTCCGTAGCGAACTGAAGTTGCATCACGGGGTTGTACGCTGGTTCAAACAGCATAACGAGGTCAAGCTTCATTGCGATGTAACGGTGTTTGGTGGAACTGAAGATTCGATTGCTCCGGTGAACTCGCTGAAGAAGTGGGAAAGGGTTTGTTCTGAAGGCAGTAAATTTGAGATCAAGCTGTTTGCTGGTGACCACTTTTACGTGAAAAATGCCGAAACTCAGTCAGCATTTGTTCGTGAATTGATTACAATTTTGTTTCCCGTGTCTACAATTGCCATGATGGAGTCGCGTACTATGATCGATGGACTGAACTCGAAGGTCGAATCGTATCCATCCGAGAAATGTCTCCACAGCATGTTCATGGAGGCAGCCAAGCGAACGCCCAACGCTATCGCTGTGCATTACGAAGGCAAAACCTTAACGTTTCGTCAGGTAGACGAGCAAAGTGAACGACTTGCTGACTATTTGTTCGACATTGGTGTCCGTCCTAACTGCATCTCGGGTATCTTTATGGAGCACTGTATTGAGTTTGTGATCGCTTACATTGCAGCACTAAAGGCTGGGGGTGCATACATGCCGCTGGAGATCGTGTATCCACCTGACCTTCTTGAACGCGTCATGGAAGAATCCAAGCCAATCATCGTGCTAACTAAGAGAAAGTATCGCAGCCGCCTGCCGGCCTGGCAGCATGCACTTGAGATGGACGAGAACTGGCTTGATATTTTGGCCAGACAGAATATCCCGGCAATGCCTGCTGATCGCACGGTCACTCATCCGGGTGATTTGGCATATGTGGTCATGTCATCAGGGACCACAGGTGTTCCTAAGGGTATTTGCTGTCCCCATCGCGGTGCCGTGCATTCTTATCACTGGCGCCTCACCCACTGCCCATTCAAAGAAGATGACCGAGTGGCATGCCACGTTTTTTTCGTTTGGGAGCTGCTGCGGCCAATGCTCGGCAACCGACCTCTGTACATCATCCCAGACAATATAATTTACGACCCCGTCAAGCTCGTGGATTACCTGGACAATCACGGGATCACACGCATTCTCTTCACGCCATCTCTGCTGCAGCTAATTCTTGACACGTGCTCAAGTGAAGATCTGCAGCGGAAGATGTCGAAGTTGCGGATAGTGTGGCTCTGTGGTGAAGTTGTGACGATGGAGCTGCGTGATCGCTTCGTTCGTCTTTTTCCCAAGTGCGAGCTGCAGAACCTTTACAGCGTATCTGAGTGTCATGACGTGAGTGCCGTAGATCTTGCTGCAATGTCTGAATGTGATAAACTGCTGTCCAGAAAGTATGCTTCTTGCGGCGAAGTAATGCCTAATGTGAAGGCGTACGTATTGGACGACATTTACAGTCCTACCCCTGTCGGAGTACCTGGAGAGTTGTACATTGGCGGACCCTGCTTGGCCATTGGGTATCTCAATCGTCCGGAACAGACAGCAGAGCGCTTTCTCAATTACGCCGTGCCGGGAGAGACTGTTTACAGGACGGGTGATCGTGCACGCTTCCTGGCAAATGGCCACCTTGAGCTCATCGGGCGCTGCGACTTTATGGTCAAAATTCGTGGATACAGCGTGGTACTAGGGGCCATTGAATCAGCTCTGGCGAAGCACCCTCTTGTTTCCACATCGGTTGTTCTCACGGAAGGGAGCGAAGGTTCTGATAAGCGGCTGGTTGCGTACATTGTGCCAGAAGATTGGGGAAAAGTGCCAAGTGCATCAAACCTTCGTAATTTCTTGAACGACAAGCTCCCACACTATGCGATCCCGTCCGTGTTTGTGCAGCTCGATGCGCTCCCAATCAACAGCGCAAGTGGCAAGCTGGATCGCAAGAAAATGCCGTCAATCGAGGAAGCCAAGAAATTACGCAACGAATCGATTGATCTATCAGTGGATCCGACGAATTTACCGCAGACCGATACCGAGATTAGGCTTGCATTAATTTGGTCCAAGCTACTTCGTCTCGAGAAACAAAACGTCTTGCATCGTGAAGCAAGCTTTTACGATGTCGGTGGCCACAGCTTGCTTTCGACACGATTGGTGTCAAGCATCCGAGACACTTTTGACGTCCACTTGACGCTAGCGGACATTCTGTCGTCGCCCGAGCTGTGTGCTATCGCATCGCTCATCGATCGTTCCCTCAATAATTCTAGCAACGGCGGCACATTAGCAGACACTGAAAAGACGGAGAAGAAGGTTGTCCTGCCGTTGGAAGCAGTGTTGGATGCATCCATATATCCTGCGGCCACGCGTAAAGCCGGGTACAGTCGTTACCGTGTGGAAATGGTGGGGGTGCCTCCACGCAACCTTTTCCTGACCGGGGCAACTGGATTTCTTGGTGCCCATCTCGTACACGCTCTTCTAAAGCACTCAACAAGCATCATCTTCTGCTTAGTCCGTGCTGGTGATAAGGACACGGCAATGGCTCGCATTAAGAAATCGCTTGAGCACTACGCGCTTTTTGATGAATCTCAGAAGTTAAATCTGGAGAATCGGGTGGTTCCCGTGGTGGGTGATCTTGCGCATCCGCTTTTAGGTCTGAATGCCGACACGTACAAGATGCTGGCGACTGAAATCGATGCGATTTTGCACAACGGCGCAGATGTAAACTTAGTGAAGCCTTACTCCGCTTTGAAAAGCGTTAACGTGCTGGGCACTCAGGAAGTGCTACGTCTTGCAGTGACCAACGGATTGGACAAGACCCGTGTTAAGCCCGTCCACTACATCTCAACGAATGGAGTATTTTCATCTGCAATGGCTGCATCCAAATTCGTGGAGACCGCTGACTTGAGCGATATATCGGATCAACTTGATAATGGCTACGCGCAAAGCAAATGGGTCTCGGAGCAGATGTGCCTCGAGGCCGCTCACCGTGGCCTGCCGGTGTCGATTCTTCGTCCAGGCAACATGGCTCCATCCTCGCTTACTGGCGAGTGGAATACCAACGACTTCATCTACTTGCTGCTCAAAGGGTGTATGTCGCTCGGCGCCGTGCCCGATCGCTCCGACTGGTACTTTGACATGACACCAGTGGACTATGCGGCGCGTGCAATTGTACATTTTGCTGCTTGTCGACCGATCGACGCGCTTGGCCAGACTCTGCACATTCAGAACCCGATGCCTCCGATTGAGGGCCGCGCGTTCTTTGCTTTCCTTGTGGCTGCGACTGCAACAAGCAAGGAAATGGCAAGGATGGAGTATTTGGAGTGGAAGTACAGTGTGCAGGAAGTCGCTGCGAAGGAGGGTGCGCCATTAGAGCTGCAAAAACTGGCTTCAGCGATCGACTCGTTCGACACGCACCTTCAAGGCAACAAGGTCTTTGACTCGACTCTATCAGCTGAGCTGCTTCTGGCTGCAGACATTTCGTGCCCTGTAGTGAACCAGGAGCTACTGATCACGTGCACAGCCAAGTGGTGAGTTCTTTGCAAACCCAGGATACAACTTCCCTTCGACAATAAAAAGACCTCAGGTCAAGTGCATCCTATCAAATCGCAAGGATGACAATGGCCCTTCCTTGAATGAAATCCTTGATACTTCAACCAGCTGCTCCCCACTTGTCATTTTGCGTCATCACCCCCCACCATGCTGCACTTGCACCACCTCCAGTCCGCTTTGCTCCGTAGGTCTGCAGCCTTGCGATCGCTGTCCACGTCGCCTCGCCTCTTCCGCAAGATCCTCGTGGCCAACCGCGGAGAGATCGCGCTGCGCATTTTGCGCTCGGCGCATAAGCTCAACATTGAGACGGTAGCGGTCTATAGCGACGCAGACGTCAATGCACAGCATGTGAAGCTGGCGACAGAGTCGTACCGTTTGGGTCCTGCGGCTGCCAGTGCGAGCTACTTGAACTACCCCAAGATCCTCGAGATCTGCCGCCGGTCCGGAGCTGAAGCGGTTCATCCGGGCTATGGCTTTTTGTCTGAGAACGCGGCATTCGCTCGTGCCTGTCAAGAGGCTGGAGTCGAGTTTATCGGTCCTCCGGTCAAATCTATTGAGGACATGGGCTCTAAGAGCGCGTCCAAGGATATTATGATCCAGGCTGGTGTCCCTGTGACTCCTGGGTACCATGGAGAAGACCAGAGCTTTGACACGTTGCGGAAAGAAGCCAGGAAGATTGGATACCCGGTGCTTATCAAGGCAGTGCTGGGGGGTGGAGGTAAAGGCATGAGAATTGTCGATGAGGACAACGATCTGCAAGAAGCGCTAGACGCCTGCGTAAGGGAGGGACAGGCCTCTTTTGGAGACGGACGAGTGCTGATCGAGAAGTATCTGAGAAAGCCTCGACATGTGGAGCTCCAGATATTTGGAGACAAGCATGGTAACGTCATTCATCTGTTTGAGAGAGACTGCAGTGTTCAGCGCCGGCATCAGAAAGTTTTGGAAGAAGCTCCTGCTGTAAGTGCAAGCTGGTGTTAGAAATTGTGCTGATCCGGGGGTGCTGCTGATTGATGCCTTGTGTATGGTGTGTTCTGTGGTAGCCTAACATATCGGAGGCATTACGCAAAAAAATGGGTGACGCGGCTGTAGCTGCAGCAAAAGCTGTTGGCTATTTTGGTGCTGGCACGGTGGAGTTTCTTCTGGATGAAGATGAGTCGTTCTACTTCATGGAGATGAATACGCGCCTGCAAGTGGAGCATCCTGTCACGGAAATGATCACTAAGCAAGATCTGGTTGAGCTCCAGCTAAAAGTTGCAGCAGGCCAAGAGCTCCCAATCCGCCAGGAGGATCTTAAAATCCATGGGCATGCTCTTGAGGCGCGCATCTACGCCGAAAACCCATACAAGTAAGTTGCATACGTATTTTACCCAAGTGGCTTGTTTGGAAAGATGTCTTTGTGGCTTGTTCTAAATAGCCGCTTGTTATTTGTCAGCGACTTTCTTCCTGGAAGTGGCATGGTGACGCACCTTCGCTTGCCTTGCACGTCTGACGACATACGTGTAGATACTGGCATCGTGGAGGGTGACGAAGTGTCGATTTATTATGACCCTATGATTGCCAAGCTGATAGTTCATGGTGATAGCCGCCAAGCTGCACTCGACACGATGGTCAAAGCACTGCACGAGTACCAGATCGTGGGACTTCCAACAAATATTGAATTTGTGGCTCGGACTGTAGATCACTCAGCGTTTCGAAAAGGCGGTGTTGATACAAGTTTTCTTAACAAGTTTGGCGACGAGGTCCTCGGACCGTTAGGAAGGTACCCCCCTTACGCCAACGCTCTAGGGGCGGTAAGTTTGCTTCTGCTTGAGCAGCGGAAATGTCATGTTGCTGGAACCCGTGAAGACGAACTACATTCTTCATGGTCGAACGATTCGCTTGCGTACTTTCGCTCATTGGAAACGCTGGAACGGAATTTTCGGCTACGCTACAACGACAACGAAGCTTCGGTGACTGTCAAGTGTCGATCGAATAACGCTTTCGAGGTCCTACTGGACGGTGAAATGGATCAAAGGGGCCTCTCAGTTAGGGGCACGATCGACGAGAACGGAGATTTTGAAATTCGAGTGGACGATCGCACGTTCAGGGGCACCGCTGTAGTTCATCGTCGGGACCTGCACCTCTTTTGCGACGATAACACGCAGCGCTACGACTACAAATTCCACGTTCCGTTGTTGTCATTGGAACCAGCAAACGACAGCTCGGCCGTTGCCGCGCACCGCAAAGTTCTGGCGTCGATGCCAGGCAAAATCATCAAGGTGTTCGTGAAAAATGGCGACAAGGTAACAGCCGATCAGCCACTTGTGATCATGGAGGCCATGAAGATGGAGCACATGATCCGTGCGCCAAAAGAAGGCATGGTGCGGAAACTGTGTTGCGAGAACGATGATTTTGTGACAGATGGTCACGTTCTCATCGAGCTAGACTAGCCATGTTCCAATGTTCGATCCTCAAGTGTTTTTCGAGGATAGTGAGTCGTGTATGCGTTTCCAGCCAGACCCGACGCAGCCTGAACTACGTACCTAGTGTAGCAAGTGATGGTCGCTCAAGTGTAGTGAAAACCAATTAACTCACTTTTACGGTCCTCGCCACCATAAAAAGTACAAATTTGGTTTGTCCAATAAATGCTTTCGTTGCAAAGAGTTTTTAAGGGAGAGAATCACGTGCGGTTTGCAAGCGCAGCGGTGGTAATGACACCAAGATAGGCGATAATTTGTGCAAATCGATTCGACATGTCCTTCCTCTGCTAACTTTATAGTTCGGTGGATGCACTTCCTCTTCGATACTAGAAGTTTTTGCTTATTAGATTACAGTGGTTTCCTACATAAATTTTAGTGAAATGAAAAGAGGGAGGCGGTAAAGCATCCCCCCTCCTCGCAATTACCATTCACCCTCTCACACATATGGTGCCCTGATTGGTCAATAAGAAGACATGCAACGATTGTTTAGTCCCTAACTGGTCAGGCAAAGAATGAAAGTGAACACTTTTCAACCTTCGGCAGGTACATAACAATACTTACCTTCCTCTTGCGTATGTCCCTTTTCCCACAACTCCATAACAATGAACTCCCTTCCACCTTTCCTGACACCGACACATGCTTCTCTTGCTGAGGCTCAAGCTAATCTAATCTCGACTCCTCACTGTTTATAATGTTTAGGCCGACAGCTTGCAGACAATTCACCGGGAGCCATAATCATGGCAGTATGAACACTTACGTGAGGACGCGTCATCGAGTGTAGCATGACGTCTCCGGACGAGACTCCACGTGAAAGCTAGCAAAAGTGATGTGATCAGTGTTCAATTATGCCTGCTATCCATCCTACGCAAATCTTAATCTTTAGCGCATCTGGTAAGTCCTATAGCTCTTAACGTTTTCGGTCGAGCTTCGGTGTGCGGGTTGTGACTTCGCGCACCACCACAACCGGCAGGTTGTTGAACAGCGCTTAATTTAACAGGAAATCCGTGCAGCTCCGCCATCTTCTATCGGGACAAACTTAAGTCGAGATTGTTCTCCCAGCCGCACATATGCTCAAACAAGTCAAACGTGAGCTCCACCTACTGCAGCACTTCCTCGGCGTTCAGATGCTAGACAAACTTGAGCGTCTTGGCAAACGTGCGACACGTGTTATTTACTGCAGCAAAGCACGCATCTCGCTCGGTCATCGAGTCGCCAACCAAGAGGAAAATATGTTAGCCATCTTACAGGGCAGAAACAGTCGCTGTCGTCTTCTTGTCTTCCCTGCGTGTATGACAGATGCTCTTCCCGCTCGCCTCTGAGCAGTGGCGGCAGCAAAGCACTGGCGTGCAATGATCTGCATGACCTATTGCTTGTAGATTTCCGAGAAGCCCCGAAATCCGAACGCCTTTTCTTACCAGCTCCGAGTAGAGAGAATGTGCACGTGCGTAAAGTCTAGAACGCTCTGCACGTCCGGCAGATAGAGTGCCGCGGACATCTCGACCCAGCGAACTCGGCGGAAGTCAAGACAAACACGTGACCGTAGGACACTGTCTGTTGCAAGAGCCGTGCAACTCGTACACTAATGAGACTAAGCACGTCACGCTCGGCCGGCGTCACGTAGATCTAATGAGCGAGGGATAGTTGCAACAAGAAGGTGAGTTTTTGTATGTACCTGCCGAAGGTTGAAAGTATTCACTTTCATTCTTTGTCTGACCAATTAGGGGCTAAAACGTTCGTTGCATGTCTTTTCATTGACAAACCAGGGCATCGTAAGTCTGAGGGGGTGGACAGTTATTGCGAAGGGGTGGACGCTTAACGCCTTCCTTAACTATGGGAAAATTAAAAAGGTGCCCATTGAATCACGAAAACATAAGCAGGTCTTACACATAATAGAGAATAAAAACCGTCCCAGCAAATTGTAATTTAGGAAACGAAAACGCCCAATTATAATCAAAAATTAAAAAAAATGGCCCACGTCTTTGTATACTCTAGCTAACGTGTCACACACGTACTGACATTGTGCTTCGATAAAGGACTTAACCTATTACATCACCATTCGCACGCTATATGAAATCTTAATAAGGGCAAAGTGAAAGTATTTTACTATTGATACGTCTGACTAACTAAAAACAGAAGATACTTTGGTTATGGTCACGTAGACATTCACACTGGTAAAATGAACTTATGATATGCTCGCGTACAAATGCTGTAACGGGGTAGCCCGTTACACAATATTGACACCAAATGGTGTCAATAGGAAGATTGCCTAGCGTGACAATATTCTACCAATATCACCCGACTGGATAATATTGAAGAAGTGTTATCCCCTTGTAGATAATATTCATGCGCTGCTCAAATATGGTTGTTGAATGAAACAAATCAGCAAACGTTACCACCCTTCGCTGATAGACGCGCGTAATGAGTGGTGAGGAGGTTGTCGTCAAAAGACAACGTAGATTAATATAGCAAGATAAAGACTGAAGTTATATTGATAGCTCAACTATAATAAATACAGTTCTCTTTTACCCTAACTCTCACCATCTGTTTGAGTAGCTTAGCTTCCCCTGCACGTACTAGTATACCAGAAGTTTCGCGGTACCCCAAACAAAGAGTGCCCCTTTACACCTGGTAGCACTTTGTAGTCCTTCCAACGACTACTTAGTGTCCGTCCAACATGAACATGTTGGACGTAGAAGAGGACAGCTTTCACGTCCCACGTGAAGGCTACTCCCATCTGAGGGACTCAGAATGGGAGGTAGTCAGCCGCATGAGTGTGTTCATGGGCAAACACGCCACTAGTGGCATGTTGGAGTATGTAAACAGAGAACAGCAACATGCTGCTGTCAACAAGTTCCTAAAAGGGGAACTTGCCGTCGAAAGACAGAAGGTAGCCTTGCTACAGCAGAGAGGCTCTCATCAGTAGATGGGCGGACCGACGTACATGCGTCGACCCAAAACCTCGAATATCGATATCTCAAGGTACAAGGAAACCGATGAAGATTCCCTTTTGAGATGGTGCGTCGAGTTGTACGACGCCATCAGGGGCCGTCACATCGAGGGTGAAGAGATGCAAGTCACCTTCTCCCTGTCAAATTTTACAGGATGAGCAAAGACTTAGGCCTTAGGGCTCAAGCTTCACGACCCAAACGTGTTTGAGTCGCTGAAGAGATCTTATAATCTCAGCTTAAAGAGACTTTTGAGACGCTGAGAGCCGAGTTCAGAGGTGATATGCACTCTTGAGGCTGAAGCAAAGTAAGCGTGACGTGCACGCTTGCACGCACAACACCTACGCTACCTTGCGAGTAGCGTTACGGAGAACCCACTTGATGAGCACACACTCATCAACGTGCTCATCTACGGCCTTGTGGATGGGCCGGTGAAGATCTACATGTTTCAAGAGGACTTCCATACGCTGGAAAAGGGCGATAGCTTATGCGGAACAAGAAGACTTCAGCCTGAGACAGTCTCTGGCTAACTCGTCAAACTATCGTCCGATGAGACGACTGAAAACGGAGGTCCTGGAACAATGGACCTCTGTTATATCGACAGCGAGAACATTCGCTCTCTAAGTCACAAGCGAGCAGCAAGATGCCATCGCTGTCATAAGATCGGACACTACGCTCATGAGTGTCGTGTCCCAAGCACCGCATCACGTCCAAAGACAGGACGTGATGACCACCGTTGGCCAAGGAAAGGTCCAAGGCGCGGGTCCTACCATGTCGTAAAACCGCGACAACAAGTCGGACCGCCAAAAAACGGTCACGGTCAGTAGGGGCGGAGCACCCTGCTGACCCAGCAACGTCAAGAGAACTTGTAGGACACTTGACGAAGATTGCTCCCTACACGCAGTCTCTGTGCGTTACTGCCCTTAATGATGAGGAGTCCCTCATCACCTTGAAGATCGAAGTGACAAGTGGAATGTCACTTCGCGCCCTAGTTGACTGTGGTGCGTCGAACAGTTTCATCCGACGCCAGTCGCTAAGGGATAGCAGGCTCAACTATGTTTCGCGAGAGTTGCCTCCAACGAGGATGACGGTGTGCCTTGCTACAGGCGCATCTGTAACAGTGAACAAACGTGTAGTGGGGATCCACTACACGCTAGAAGGAAAGCAGTACGATGATGACTCATCGTATCAGATTTAGATGACAATTTTGATGTCATCCTCGGTCTGCCATGGCTTAGAAAATACCAGCCATGGGTCAGCTGGCAGCATCGATCCGTAAAGATGCCTGTCGTTTGTTCATCGGATGTCCATCTGAGGAACGTCTTGGAGCGTCCACAAGCGTGTGGATGTACTAAGAGTGAGTGCGATGGCCTCACTTGTGGCACGGTCGTTAGTATGACTGCACAAGATCACAGTGTAGAAGGCCACTACACTGTGGAACCAGCTTCCGGCGCCTGTGTAGAGACACAGCCTGTGCCGAAGGTTCACCACTCGAAGAGATCGAGTGGACTGGAACAGGGATGCAGACCAAGAAGAGTGCATCCGAGTAAAGATTAGTGTTGTTCAGGATGAACAAAACGTTGAAGCAAGATCGCTATCAGAGAGTCGATTGTAGAGCAAGCTCGATAGACTGAAAGAGAGTCGATCGAAGAGGACGTGACTGTGGTAGTGCACCCACAGTAAGAACACGTATTGGAAGAAAGTTCTGGCGTTCCTGAGAGTGATTACTCCCGAGAGACCTATGTTGAGGTTGTAAATCCCCAAACAACTGCGGATGTGTTTTCCCAGAAAAGCACCGAGACAGTGAATGTCTTGGTGAATGATAGATCACGTGTAGGCGCTTATATACTTGATCTGGTTACACCTCCGAAGTCAGCTTCGGAGGTAGTCAAGTTGCCAACGCTAGAATCTAAAAGATTCTTGCGAGATCTGCTTAGTGACAAGATCAAGCAGATCTGCGTATACTCGTCACAGAGGACGTCGCCAATATTCGGTCGGCACAAGCGTTTGCTGAGAACGAACGGGTTCTCTGTAGCTCATCTATGGACGAGAGTGTCCTTGATGAGAAGACCCGGATTAAGCGATACACATCTCAATCTTGGGAGTATTTGAAGCTAAAACCTTTGTATAAGGATTTGTTTAAAGTCAGGGACGTTTTCCCGGACTCCGTGCCCGGAGTGCCCAAGGACAAAGGCACTCGGCATGAGATCGAACTGAAACCTGGTTCGAAATACTGTGTCATGAAGCAGTGGCCACTGCCTCGTGAGCAGGTAACAGTGATCGACAAATTCTTTGCCGATCGTTTAGCGGCTAATCATGTGAGGGAATCAACATCCCCACACAGCTCTCCGACCGTCTGTGTGCGAAAGGCCACACGCATACAACAAATTGAACGCTGCAACGGCACCGGCTCAGACGCCGATACCAAGAAAGGATGTCATCATAAATGGTATGGCAAAAAGTACCAGCTTTTTGTCCATGGATTTGATGGATGGATTTTATCAGATCCTCATGCGTGAACGGGACATCCCGTACACAGCAGTGAGCACCCCCAGTGGTATGCTCTGGGCGTGGCTAGTGATGCCACAAGGGCTAAGTAACGCCCCCGCAACGTTTAACAGATGTGTTACGAATCTGTTGCGATCAGTGAGCGATTTCGCACCGAGGTTTTCGATGATGTCTTCGTCCATAGCCGGGCTATGGATGGAAAGACGGACGTGGAGGTTTATAAAATCCACGTCCGGAAAGTTCTTACACTATTGCGAGAGCATAAGTTGTTTGCAGCCTTAAGAAGTGTATATTCGCAGCGAACGAAATACCACTTCTTGGCTTCATCGTGGGTAAAAACAGCGTACGCTCTGATCTGGAAAAGATCAAGGCGATTAGCGAATGGCATGTTCCAGTCGACGTCAAGGGACTTCGAAAGATCCTTGGCTTAGCGGCGTTCTTTCTTATTACTCGAGCAACTATGTCTAGAAGAATGCACATCTTTCTCGTCTGCTAAAGAAAAACGAGAGGTGGTCATGGAGAGCTGAGTGTCATCACTCCTTCAAAGGTATTAAGAAAAGCTTAATACAATCACCTGTGTTGGCGATTGCAGATGAGGACAGATCATTCCATGTGGTCTGTGACGCCAGCATTTTGCAATTGGCTGCGCCTCAATGCAGTACGACTCAGACGGTATAGAGCGCGTCGTCTGTTATCAATCGCGTCAGCTGCAAGCAGATGATCGTAATTGCTTATTTTATGACAAGGAACTCCTTGCCATGAAATATGCACTGGACAGGTTTCGGGTGTATCTTTTAGGTGATAGGCCCTTCATCGATTGTACCGACCATGCTTCGTTACACACGGCCTAAACAGCCCACAACTCTTGCAACGTATGGCGAGGTGGCTGTCTTTCTTCGTAAAGTAAAACTTCTCCGTCGAGAGTATAAACCAGGACGACTTAATATTGTCGCTTAAGCTATTTCGCGTCGGCCTGATTTGGAGTCGACTGCTCAACCCAACAGTAGGGGTGATTCCACTGTAGGGACACTATCAGTGAGTGTTCCGTCGTCGAATCTGCTCAACGACGTGCGGAAGGCATACGCAGAAGATGAATATCTTCTATGGTTGATGGATTATGTATCCAATCCGTGTGATCAAGCTTCGAAAAGCTTACGTTTCAATACCGCTCTTTAACCGAACGGTATTCGGCTCGTGATAGAATGCTGTAGTATACAACAGTCAGCGGCAACACACCTCGTGTCGTCGATCCCGCTCATGATAATTTGCGATTGTGCATCATGTGTGAGTGTCACGAAGCCTCAACACTTGGGCATCGCGGTAGAGAGAATACTTACCTCACGGTAAGTCGAGACTTTTACTGGCCTCGCCAGTACGTATTTGTGCGCATACACATTCGCGCTTGCAAAGTTAGTCAACGGGTGAAGCCTAGTCCTTACTCCCGTGCACCATTGCATCCTTTAAAGGTTCCAGCAGAGTGCTGGTAGTCCGTATACGAACAGCTGTGCGCGTGTGCATAGACGTGTGTATCTTTGATTGTTTCGTCTATTGGATGGCTAGTTTGGTTTCTCCTATTGCTCAGTTGGTAGAGCGTGCGGCTGTTAACCTCAAGGTCGCTGGTTCAAACCCAGCTGGGAGAGCTCCTTTGCACCACGCGCTGTCCAGCCTCATATTGAGCAACTTCTCGTGCACGACGTCGCTTCTACTGTCATTAGATGCACCGATGCTCCGTTATCGACGCCATCAACACCGTATTGAACCGTTCGAATGCGATGCACGTTGCGACATTCTGATCGATGGTCGAGTCCCACCCGGTCTTGGTGACAACATCTTGGTTTCGTTCTTTCTCTGGTGTCAGGTCAGCTGCTTTGTCTCTGTTGTTGCCGTTGTCAAAAGACAGGCTAACGAACTCGAGTGTGAGCTCAAGCAATCGGATACTGTGCCTATGGTCCGGTGTCAGCTGTCAGTGTAAGTGCTGGTCGTATCCGATCATCATCAGGAAAATGTCCTGTCATGTAATTTGTTGTCTTTTCAGCACAGCACAAACACTGTAGAGGCTTCCTGATACACGGCAGGGTCCAGGAGAAGCAGGTGGTAGTATGTACATAAGCTCACCGAATGTTGCTACTTAAGGGTAAACGTGGCTGCTCCCAACGTCGCGAGGAAGTTGCAAAGCAGATATGAACAGAATCTTCAAGAACATTCAGGCACAGCGCAATCTGACGGACAAGACGGCGCGTTGGACAGCTGTGTGCGTGTGCGTAGATGCGTGTATGTTTTATTGTTGCGTTTGTTGGATGGCTAGTTTGGTTTCTCCTATAGCTCAGTTGGTAAAGCGTGCGGCTGTTAACCTCAAGGTCGCTGGTTCAAACCCAGCTGGGAGAGCTCCTTTGCACCACGCGCTGTCCAGCCTCATATTGAGCAACATCTCGTGCACGACGTCGCTTCTACTGTCACTTGATGCACCGATGCTCCGTTATCGACGCTATCACCACCGTATTGGACCGTTCGAATGCGATGCACGTTGCGACATTCTGATCGATGGTCGAGTCCCACCCGGTCTTGGTGACAACATCTTGGTTTTGTTCTTTCTCTGGTGTCAGGTCAGCTGCTTTGTCTCTGTTGTTGCCGTTGTCAAAAGACAGGCTAACGAACTCGAGTGTGAGCTCAAGCAATCCAATACTGTGCCTATGGTCCGGTGTCAGCTGTCAGTGTAAGTGCTGGTCGTATCCGATCATCATCAGGAAAATGTCCTGTCATGTAATTTGTTGTCTTTTCAGCACAGCACAAACACTGTAGAGGCTTCCTGATACACGGCAAGTTCCAGGAGAAGCAGGTGGTAGCATGTACATAAGCTCACCGAATGTTGCTACTTAAGGGTAAACGTGGCTACTCCCAACGTCGCGAGCGAGTTGCAAAGCAGATATGAACAGAATCTTCAAGAACATTCAGGCACAGCGCAATCTGACGGACAAGACAGCGCGTTGGACAGCTGTGTGCGTGTGCGTAGATGCGTGTATGTTTAATTGTTGCGTTTGTTGGATGGCTAGTTTGGTTTCTCCTATAGCTCAGTTAGTAGAGCGTGCGGCTGTTAACCTCAAGGTCTTTGGTTCAAACCCAGCTGGGAGAGCTCCTTTGCACCACGCGCTGTCCAGCCTCATATTGAGCAACATCTCGTGCACGACGTCGCTTCTACTGTCACTTGATGCACCGATGCTCCGTTATCGACGCCATCAACACCGTATTGGACCGTTCGAATGCGATGCACGTTGCGACATTCTGATCGATGGTCGAGTCCCACCCGGTCTTGGTGACAACATCTTGGTTTTGTTCTTTCTCTGGTGTCAGGTCAGCTGCTTTGTCTCTGTTGTTGCCGTTGTTAAGAGACAGGCTAACGAACTCGAGTTTGAGCTCAAGCAATCGTATACTGCCTATGACCCGGTGTCAGCTGTCAGTGTAAGTGCTGGTCGTATCCGATCATCATCAGGAAAATGTCCTGTCATGTAATTTGTTGTCTTTTCAGCACAGCACAAACACTGTAGAGGCTTCCTGATACACGGCAGGTTCCAGGAGAAGCAGGTGGTAGTATGTACATAAGCTCACCGAATGTTGCTACTTAAGGGTAAACGTGGCTACTCCCAACGTCGCGAGCAAGTTGCGATGCAAATGTGAACAGAATCTGCAAGAACATTCAGGCACAGCGCAATCTGACGGACAAGACGGCGCGTTGGACAGCTGTGTGCGTGTGCGTAGATGCGTGTATGTTTGATTGTTGCGTTTGTTGGATGGCTAGTTTGGTTTCTCCTATAGCTGAGTTGGCAGAGTGCGTGGCTGTTAACCTCAAGGTCGCTGGTTCAACCCAGCTAGGAGAGCTCCTTTGCACCACGCGCTGTCCAGTCTCATATTGAGCAGCATCTGCACGACGTCGCTTCTACTGTCATTAGATGCACCGATGCTCCGTTATCGACGCCATCACCACCGTATCGGACCGTTCGAATGCGATGCATGTTGCGACATTCTGATCGATGGTCGAGTCCCACCCGGTCTTGGTGACAACATCTTGGTTTCGTTCTTTCTCTGGTGTCAGGTCAGCTGCTTTGTCTCTGTTGTTGCCGTTGTTAAGAGACAGGCTAACGAACTCGAGTTTGAGCTCAAGCAATCGTATACTGCCTATGACCCGGTGTCAGCTGTCAGTGTAAGTGCTGGTCGTATCCGATCATCATCAGGAAAATGTCCTGTCATGTAATTTGTTGTCTTTTCAGCACAGCACAAACACTGTAGAGGCTTCCTGATACACGGCAGGGTCCAGGAGAAGCAGGTGGTGGCATGTACATAAGCTCACCGAATGTTGCTACTTAAGGGTAAACGTGGCTGCTCCTAACGTCGCGAGCAAGTTGCAAAGCAGATATGAACAGAATCTTCAAGAACATTCAGGCACAGCGCAATCTGACGGACAAGACGGCGCGTTGGACAGCTGTGTGCGTGTGCGTAGATGCGTGTATGTTTTATTGTTGCGTTTGTTGGATGGCTAGTTTGGTTTCTCCTATAGCTCAGTTAGTAGAGCGTGCGGCTGTTAACCTCAAGGTCGCTGGTTCAAACCCAGCTGGGAGAGCTCCTTTGCACCACGCGCTGTCCAGCCTCATATTGAGCAACATCTCGTGCACGACGTCGCTTCTACTGTCATTAGATGCACCGATGCTCCGTTATCGACGCCATCAACACCGTATTGGACCGTTCGAATGCGATGCACGTTGCGACATTCTGATCGATGGTCGAGTCCCACCCGGTCTTGGTGACAACATCTTGGTTTCGTTCTTTCTCTGGTGTCAGGTCAGCTGCTTTGTCTCTGTTGTTGCCGTTGTCAAAAGACAGGCTAACGAACTCGAGTGTGAGCTCAAGCAATCGGATACTGTGCCTATGGTCCGGTGTCAGCTGTCAGTGTAAGTGCTGGTCGTATCCGATCATCATCAGGAAAATGTCCTGTCATGTAATTTGTTGTCTTTTCAGCACAGCACAAACACTGTAGAGGCTTCCTGATACACGGCAGGGTCCAGGAGAAGCAGGTGGTGGCATGTACATAAGCTCACCGAATGTTGCTACTTAAGGGTAAACGTGGCTGCTCCTAACGTCGCGAGCAAGTTGCAAAGCAGATATGAACAGAATCTTCAAGAACATTCAGGCACAGCGCAATCTGACGGACAAGACGTCGCGTTGGACAGCTGTGTGCGTGTGCGTAGATGCGTGTATGTTTTATTGTTGCGTTTGTTGGATGGCTAGTTTGGTTTCTCCTATAGCTCAGTTAGTAGAGCGTGCGGCTGTTAACCTCAAGGTCGCTGGTTCAAACCCAGCTGGGAGAGCTCCTTTGCACCACGCGCTGTCCAGCCTCATATTGAGCAGCATCTCGTGCACGACGTCGCTTCTACTGTCATTAGATGCACCGATGCTCCGTTATCGACGCCATCAACACCGTATTGGACCGTTCGAATGCGATGCACGTTGCGACATTCTGATCGATGGTCGAGTCCCACCCGGTCTTGGTGACAACATCTTGGTTTTGTTCTTTCTCTGGTGTCAGGTCAGCTGCTTTGTCTCTGTTGTTGCCGTTGTCAAAAGACAGGCTAACGAACTCGAGTGTGAGCTCAAGCAATCGGATACTGTGCCTATGGTCCGGTGTCAGCTGTCAGTGTAAGTGCTGGTCGTATCCGATCATCATCAGGAAAATGTCCTGTCATGTAATTTGTTGTCTTTTCAGCACAGCACAAACACTGTAGAGGCTTCCTGATACATGGCAGGTTCCAGGAGAAGCAGGTGGTAGCATGTACATAAGCTCACCGAATGTTGCTACTTAAGGGTAAACGTGGCTGCTCCCAACGTCGCGAGCGAGTTGCAAAGCAGATATGAGCAGAATCTGTAAGAACATTCAGGCACAGCACAATCTGACGGACAAGACGGCGCGTTGGACAGCTGTGTGCGTGTGCGTAGATGCGTGTATGTTTGATTGTTGCGTTTGTTGGATGGCTAGTTTGGTTTCTCCTATAGCTCAGTTGGTAGAGCGTGCGGCTGTTAACCTCAAGGTCGCTGGTTCAAACCCAGCTGGGAGAGCTCCTTTGCACCACGCGCTGTCCAGCCTCATATTGAGCAGCATCTCGTGCACGACGTCGCTTCTACTGTCATTAGATGCACCGATGCTCCGTTATCGACGCCATCACCACCGTATCGGACCGTTCGAATGCGATGCATGTTGCGACATTCTGATCGATGGTCGAGTCCCACCCGGTCTTGGTGACAACATCTTGGTTTCGTTCTTTCTCTGGTGTCAGGTCAGCTGCTTTGTCTCTGTTGTTGCCGTTGTCAAAAGACAGGCTAACGAACTCGAGTGTGAGCTCAAGCAATCGGATACTGCCTATGACCCGGTGTCAGCTGTCAGTGTAAGTGCTGGTCGTATCCGATCATCATCAGGAAAATGTCCTGTCATGTAATTTGTTGTCTTTTCAGCACAGCATAACCACTGTAGAGGCTTCCTGATACACGGCAAGTTCCAGGAGAAGCAGGTGGTAGCATGTACATAAGCTCACCGAATGTTGCTACTTAAGGGTAAACGTGGCTACTCCCAACGTCGCGAGCAAGTTGCGATGCAAATGTGAACAGAATCTGCAAGAACATTCAGGCACAGCGCAATCTGACGGACAAGACGGCGCGTTGGACAGCTGTGTGCGTGTGCGTAGATGCGTGTATGTTTGATTGTTTGGTTTCTCCTTTAGCTCAGTTGGTAGAGCGTGCGGCTGTTAACCTCAAGGTCGCTGGTTCAAACCCAGCTGGGAGAGCTCCTTTGCACCACGCGCTGTCCAGTCTCATATTGAGCAGCATCTCGTGCACGACGTCGCTTCTACTGTCATTAGATGCACCGATGCTCCGTTATCGACGCCATCACCACCGTATCGGACCGTTCGAATGCGATGCATGTTGCGACATTCTGATCGATGGTCGAGTCCCACCCGGTCTTGGTGACAACATCTTGGTTTCGTTCTTTCTCTGGTGTCAGGTCAGCTGCTTTGTCTCTGTTGTTGATGTTGTCAAAAGACAGGCTAACGAACTCGAGTTTGAGCTCAAGCAATCCTATACTGTGCCTATGGTCCGGTGTCAGCTGTCAGTGTAAGTGCTGGTCGTATCCGATCATCATCAGGAAAATGTCCTGTCATGTAATTTGTTGTCTTTTCAGCACAGCACAAACACTGTAGAGGCTTCCTGATACACGGCAAGTTCCAGGAGAAGCAGGTGGTAGCATGTACATAAGCTCACCGAATGTTGCTACTTAAGGGTAAACGTGGCTACTCCCAACGTCGCGAGCAAGTTGCGATGCAAATGTGAACAGAATCTGCAAGAACATTCAGGCACAGCGCAATCTGACGGACAAGACGGCGCGTTGGACAGCTGTGTGCGTGTGCGTAGATGCGTGTATGTTTGATTGTTGCGTTTGTTGGATGGCTAGTTTGGTTTCTCCTATAGCTCAGTTGGTAGAGCGTGCGGCTGTTAACCTCAAGGTCGCTGGTTCAAACCCAGCTGGGAGAGCTCCTTTGCACCACGCGCTGTCCAGCCTCATATTGAGCAGCATCTCGTGCACGACGTCGCTTCTACTGTCATTAGATGCACCGATGCTCCGTTATCGACGCCATCACCACCGTATCGGACCGTTCGAATGCGATGCATGTTGCGACATTCTGATCGATGGTCGAGTCCCACCCGGTCTTGGTGACAACATCTTGGTTTTGTTCTTTCTCTGGTGTCAGGTCAGCTGCTTTGTCTCTGTTGTTGCCGTTGTCAAAATACAGGCTAACGAACTCGAGTGTGAGCTCAAGCAATCGGATGCTGCCTATTGTTAGCGAGTGATGATGCGGCGACTTGTGCAGGGTGTATATTGCATATTTGCATTAGTTGTATTGTTCTTTGGCAGGTTTATATTGTGGGATGTTAGCGGGACGACAAGTCATCTGACTGTCTCAGTCGTTTGTGAAGGGGGATTCCACGCGGGTGAGTGCGGGTTCGATCCCCGCCGTGAACAAGTTGTTGTGACTGGCACTCATGATCTGGTGTTTGGGGTTCACCAGAACTGTGACCCGCCCGCAGTTACGTCCTCCACCCACGCAATCGTTTTCATTCTGCATATGACACAGCAGAGTTTTTACGAAAGGTCTTTACGAGACGTAATTACCCAGGGATAGGTAAAACAGAAAGCGGTGGAGACAGGGCACGAAATAGGTGGCTGAGAGCCACCGGCTACTACTAGCCATTCGTTTTTGAAGCTAGGAACAATTTGATTACAACTCACTTTTCGGTTTTAATCCCCGGCCGTAAGCCATCTTCTTCTTCTCATCAGCTCCGCAACCTGGTTAATTCTAACAGGTTATGAGCCCAAGTAACGACTCCGGTTTCAAGGTCGAGCCTTTCGACGGCTCGAACTATGGGTTGTGGAGTTACAAGATGAAGATGTACCTGATGTCGAAGGGGCTGTGGGGCGCGATCGCGGGCGATGAGACAACAAGTGAGGCCAAGGAACAGCAAGCCCACGCCGCGATCGTGCTGAATCTGAGCGATTCGCAGTTGATGCATGTCATCGACTCGGCCACTGCAAGAGAAGCGTGGGGACGTTTGGCGCGATTTCATCACAGTCATGACATGGCGAATCGACTTTGGCTGAAGGAAAAGTTCGCCTCGTTCAAGTATGCAGCATCAAGCATGAGCGGTCATGTGATGGAGCTGGAGGACCTCGTGATGAAGATGAAGCGCGCGAACTGCGGTCCAAGTGAAGAGGACGTGTGCGCAGTACTGTTGCGGAGTCTACCTTCAAGCTTCGAGAGCTTGGTACAGGCATTCCGCATGTCCGTCGCAAGCTTCAGTTTCAGTGACCTCGTGAGCAAGTTGATCGCCGAAGAAGTGCGCCAGAATGAGGCTGCACGGGTAGAAGATGCAACGGCGCTCTACGCAGGCAAGAGGAAGGGTAAGCAGTACCCGAAGAAGCAACAAGGACGGCGCGCGAAAGGACCATCAGGGACCTGCTACAACTGTGGCAAGGTCGGACACTACGCCAGAGATTGTCGCTCCGGTCGAGGGCCAAAGGAGCACCAGCATGACCAGTCGAATGTCGCGTTTCAATGCCTGCGAAGGTTTCGCGAGCAACAGCTGGGTCATGGACAGTGGCGCGTCAGCACACATGTGCAAGGATCGAGATGCGTTCGAAGAGTACGAAGAAGTGCATCATGCGCGAAGCATTTCAAGCGCAAAGAGCGACGTGAAGCTGAATGTCATTGGACATGGGACAGTGAAGCTGCGCGTCTGGACAGGGCATGCGTGGATCGACGCTCGCCTTGAGAACACACTTCACGTTCAAGATTTGTCCAAGAACCTGTTTTCGCTCACGGCTGCGGCAGCGCGCGGCATGACAGTGGAGATAACGCGCAACGAGTGCGTGGTGAAGCGTGGCGGCACACCCGTCGCAACAGGAAGGAAGCAGGGGTTCCTCCTGTATCTCAATGCTGACTATGGTACGGAGTGCCACATGGCCGAAGACGATTCAGAGCTATGGAATAGAAGACTGGGTCACGTGTCGTATGGTACGCTAAATGCCATGGTCAAGGACGGAAGGATCAAGGGCGCAACGATGAAGACGAACGTTGCGTGTGACGTATGCGCAACGTCAAAGCAAGTGCGCAAGTCATTCAAGACAAGTGAAGAAGACGCTGAAACCAGGGAGAGTTCGCGTTCCGACGTGGTGGTGTGCTCCGACGTTCTCGGACCTATCACGCCAGCGTCCAAGTCTGGTTTCAGTTACGCCGTAACCTTCATCATGATGAAGAGCAGGTATGTAACGGTCTATCCGTTGCGAAAGAAGAGCGACGTTGCGAGTGCGTTCAAGCGGTTTTACCAAGATATCAAGACAACATCTGGAACGAAGATAAAGGTGCTGCGAAGTGACAACGGCGGCGAATACCGGAACGCAACGATGAACAACTTTTGCAAGGCAAAGTTCATCAAGCAAGAATTCACGGTTTCGTACAACCCAGAGCAGAACGGGATGGCGGAGCGGATGAACCGCACGCTGGTGGAGATGACGCGCTGTATGCTCAAGGAAAGCGGCCTCGACAAGTCGTACTGGTGCGAGGCACTGATGACAGCGGCAGACATCAGAAACATTCTGCCGAACGCGTCGAACAAGAGCTCAAGCCCACACGAGATGGTGTTCAAGAAGGTTCCGCGCATCGATCACATGCGCGTGTTTGGAGCGCAATGCTATGCGCATGTGGCAAAGGAGAAGAGGAAGAAGCTGGACGACTCAGGCGTGCGATGTTTCTTTCTCGGCAATGCGAAGGATCAAAAGGCGTACCGGCTACTTAACGCGGACGACGGCTCGATCGTGATTTTAAGAAGCGTCACGTTCGCTGAGCATTCTGTCTCGAAAGCATCGAAAAGCAGAGACACGCGGGTCTTCGATGTCATTGAAGAAGAGGAATGTGTGGAGGCGTCGCTACCCGATGATGAAGACAAAACAGCGCCGGTGACCGAAGAAGAGCTGCGCACCCCCACCACTTCGAGCGCAGAACAGCTCTCATCCCGGACCAAGTCATCGACCAAGCGACACCATTCCTACGCGCGCATCCAGCACACCCGGAAGAAATGGGGAAGAAGAGTGGATGGTACGACCGGTTCGGAAGAAGCGCGGCGTGGTTCGCTACGAACAAGAATTTCCAAGTCATCGTCGCGGTCACTTCAATTTGGACGACTACGAAGGTGACTTCGAATCTTTCTACTGTTTCTTGGCTGAAGAAGATGGGGAACAAGCGTCCAGCTATCAAGAAGTAATGAAGAGCAGCTACAAGGAGCAGTGGCTGCAGGCAATGAAGAGTGAGATGAAGTCGCTTGAAGAACACAGCACATGGAAGCTAGTGGACATGCCACCGGGCAAGAAGGCCGTAGGCTGCAAGTGGGTCTTCAAGATCAAACGCGATCCAAGTGGGGAGATCATCAAGTTCAAGGCACGCTTGGTTGCGAAGGGGTTCACGCAGCGTCCTGGCATCGACTACAACGAGACCTTTGCACCAGTGGCGCGCAAGGAATCTATCAACACAGTGTTGGCGATCGCTGCAGCTGAAGACCTGGAAGCAGAAAACGTTGATGTCGACACAGCGTTTCTCTACGGCGAAGTGGAAGAGGAGATCTACATGGACCAACCTGACGGTTTTGAAGATGAAGAAAGCCCGAAAAAGAAGTGTTTGCTGCAGAAGGCGCTATACGGGACGAAGCAAGCGGCGCGGCAGTGGAACAACAAATTGAGTCAGCACTTGGTTGATCAAGGGTTCAAGAGCAGTGCAGCGGACCCGTGTGTGTTCGTTCGAGTGACAAGAGAGGAGTACAGCATCATCGTGATCTACGTGGACGACTTGATGATTTTCTGCAAGACGAAGGAGCACATCGCGAGTATCAAGAACTCATTGATGGAAGATTTCAGCATTAAAGATCTTGGAGATCTCAAGTACTGCCTCGGGATCGAGATTCATCGCAAGCGCGAAGATGGAACGATCAAGATGAACCAGAAGGCGTACATCAAGCGACTGTCGGAGAAGTTCGGCGTTGAGAACTGCAAGGACGTGCACACGCCAGCGGACAGTAACTCGAAGCTGATCAAGATGTGTCAAGAGGAAGCGTTTGTACCAAAGTACCCATACCGTGAGCTGGTGGGCGCTTTAATGTACATCGCCACATGTACACGACCGGACATTGCGCATGCGGTTGGCGAAGTTGCGAAGTTTTGCGAGCGCTACGACAAGTCGCATTGGACAGCAGCAAAGCGGATTCTCAAGTATCTCAAGAGGACTCAAGACTTAAGCATCGTGTTCAGCGGCATCAACAAGGGAGAGCTGATCGGATTCGCGGATGCAAACTGGGCTGGCGACCTCGACACGCGGCGTTCGACAACAGGATACGTTTTCTTCCTGAACGGAAGCGTGATATCGTGGAATTCGAAGCGTCAACCAACGGTCGCGACCTCAAGTACGGAAGCAGAGTACATGAGTCTGTACAGCGCGACGCAGGAAGCAATTTGGCTTCGAGGTCTGCTCAAGGACCTGAACTACTGTGCGAAGAACGCGACGACGATTTTTCAAGACAATCAAGGTTGCATCGCGCTGGCCAAGAATCCTGTGTACCACTCGCGCACGAAGCACATCGACATCAAATTTCACTTTTTGCGTGAAAAGGTTGCAAGTGCAGTGATCGCGCTAGAGTTCAAGCCGACAGAAGATATGGTCGCGGATGGATTCACCAAGGCACTTCCAAGAGACAAGCACAGCAAGTTCATCACGGGTCTGTGCATGGCGGTGTAGGGCGCACACGTCGCACGCACATCAAGGGAGAGTGTTAGCGAGTGATGATGCGGCGACTTGTGCAGGGTGTATATTGCATATTTGCATTAGTTGTATTGTTCTTTGGCAGGTTTATATTGTGGGATGTTAGCGAAACGACAAGTCATCGGACTGTCTCAGTCTTTTGGGAAGGGGGATTCCACGCGGGTGAGTGCGGGTTCGATCCCCGCCGTGAACAAGTTAATTGTGACTGACACTCATGACCTGGTGTTTGGGGCTCACCAGAACTGTGACCTGCCCGCAGTTGCGTCCCCCACCCACGCAATCGTTTTCATTCTGCATATGACACAGCAGAGTTTTTACGAAAGGTATTTACGAGACGTAATTACCCAGTGATAGGTAAAACAGAAAGCGGTGGAGACAGGGCACGAAATAGGTGGCTGAGAGCCACCGGCTACTACTAGCCATTCGTTTTCGAAGCTAGGAACAATTTGAATACAACTCACTTTTCGGTTTTCATACCCCGGCCGTAAGCCATCTTCTTCTTAGCATCAGCTCCGCAACCTAGTTAATTCTAACACTGTTAACCTCAAGGTCGCTGGTTCAAACCCAGCTGGGAGAGCTCCTTTGCACCACGCGCTGTCCAGCCTCATATTGAGCAGCATCTCGTGCACGACGTCGCTTCTACTGTCATTAGATGCACCGATGCTCCGTTATCGACGCCATCACCACCGTATCGGACCGTTCGAATGCGATGCATGTTGCGACATTCTGATCGATGGTCGAGTCCCACCCGGTCTTGGTGACAACATCTTGTTTTCGTTCTTTCTTTGGTGTCAGGTCAGCTGCTTTGTCCCTGTTGTTGCCGTTGTCAAAAGACAGGCTAACGAACTCGAGTGTGAGCTCAAGCAATCGGATGCTGCCTATGACCCGGTGTCAGCTGTCAGTGTAAGTGCTGGTCGTATCCGATCATCATCAGGAAAATATCCTGTCATGTAATTTGTTGTCTTTTCAGCACAGCACAACCACTGTAGAGGCTTCCTGATACATGGCAGGTTACAGGAGAAGCAGGTGGTAGCATGTACATAAGCTCACCGAATGTTGCTACTTAAGGGTAAACGTGGCTACTCCCAACGTCGCGAGCAAGTTGCGATGCAAATATGAACAGAATCTGCAAGAACATTCAGGCACAGCGCAATCTGACGGACAAGACGGCGCGTTGGACAGCTGTGTGCGTGTGCGTAGATGCGTGTATGTTTGATTGTTGCGTTTGTTGGATGGCTAGTTTGGTTTCTCCTATAGCTCAGTTGGTAGAGCGTGCGGCTGTTAACCTCAAGGTCGCTGGTTCAAACCCAGCTGGGAGAGCTCCTTTGCACCACGCGCTGTCCAGCCTCATATTGAGCAGCATCTCGTGCACGACGTCGCTTTTGCTGTCATTAGATGCACCGATTCTCCGTTATCGACGCCATCACCACCGTATTGGACCGTTCGAATGCGATGCACGTTGCAACATTCTGATTGATGGTCGAGTCCCACCCGGTCTTGGTGACAACATCTTGGTTCCGTTCTTTCTTTGGTGTCAGGTGAGATGCTTTGTCGCTGTTGTTGCTGTTGTCAGAAGACAGGCTAACGAACTCGAGTGTGAGCTCAAGCAATCGGATACTGCCTATGACCCGGTGTCAGCTGTCAGTGTGAGTGCTGGTCGTATCCGATCATCATCAGGAAAATATCCTGTCATGTAATTTGTTGTCTTTGCAGCACAGCACAACCAATGTAGAGGCTTCCTGATACATGGCAGGGTCCAGGAGAAGCAGGTGGTAGCATGTACATAAGCTCACCGAATGTTGCTACTTAAGGGTACATGTGGCTACTTCCGACGTCGCGAGCAAGTTGCGATGCAGATATGAACAGAACCTGGAAGAACATTCAGGCACAGCGCAATCTGACGGACAAGACGGCGCGTTGGACAGCTGTGTGCGTGTGCGTAGACGTGTGTATGTTTGATTGTTGCGTTTGTTGGATGGCTAGTTTGGTTTCTCCTATAGCTCAGTTGGTAGAGCGTGCGGCTGTTAACCTCAAGGTCGCTGGTTCAAATCCGGCTGGGAGAGCTCCTTTGCACCACGCGCTGTCCAGCCTCATATTGAGCAGCATCTCGTGCACGACGTCGCTTCTACTGTCATTAGATGCACCGATGCTCCGTTATCGACGCCATCACCACCGTATTGGACCGTTCGAATGCGATGCATGTTGCGACATTCTGATCGATGGTCGAGTCCCACCCGGTCTTGGTGACAACATCTTGGTTTCTTTCTTTCTCTGGTGTCAGGTCAGCTGCTTTGTCTCTGTTGTTGCTGTTGTCAAAAGACAGGCTAACGAACTCGAGTGTGAGCTCAAGCAATCGGATGCTGCCTATGACCCGGTGTCAGCTGTCAGTGTAAGTGCTGGTCGTATCCGATCATCATCAGGAAAATGTCCTGTCATGTAATTTGTTGTCTTTTCAGCACAGCGCAAACACTGTAGAGGCTTCCTGATACATGGCAGGTTCCAGGAGAAGCAGGTGGTAGTATGTACATAAGCTCACCGAATGTTGCTACTTAAGGGTAAACGTGGCTACTCCCAACGTCGCGAGCAAGTTGCGATGCAGATATGAACAGAATCTGCAAGAACATTCAGGCACAGCGCAATCTGACGGACAAGACGGCGCGTTGGACAGCTGTGTGCGTGTGCGTAGATGCGTGTATGTTTGATTGTTGCGTTTGTTGGATGGCTAGTTTGGTTTCTCCTATAGCTCAGTTGGTAGAGCGTGCGGCTGTTAACCTCAAGGTCGCTGGTTCAAACCCAGCTGGGAGAGCTCCTTTGCACCACGCGCTGTCCAGCCTCATATTGAGCAGCATCTCGTGCACGACGTCGCTTTTGCTGTCATTAGATGCACCGATTCTCCGTTATCGACGCCATCACCACCGTATTGGACCGTTCGAATGCGATGCACGTTGCAACATTCTGATTGATGGTCGAGTCCCACCCGGTCTTGGTGACAACATCTTGGTTCCGTTCTTTCTTTGGTGTCAGGTGAGATGCTTTGTCGCTGTTGTTGCTGTTGTCAGAAGACAGGCTAACGAACTCGAGTGTGAGCTCAAGCAATCGGATACTGCCTGTGACCCGGTGTCAGCTGTCAGTGTGAGTGCTGGTCGTATCCGATCATCATCAGGAAAATATCCTGTCATGTAATTTGTTGTCTTTTCAGCACAGCGCAAACACTGTAGAGGCTTCCTGATACATGGCAGGGTCCAGGAGAAGCAGGTGGTAGCATGTACATAAGCTCACCGAATGTTGCTACTTAAGGGTACATGTGGCTACTTCCGACGTCGCGAGCAAGTTGCGATGCAGATATGAACAGAACCTGGAAGAACATTCAGGCGCAGCGCAATCTGACGGACAAGACGGCGCGTTGGACAGCTGTGTGCGTGTGCGTAGACGTGTGTATGTTTGATTGTTGCGTTTGTTGGATGGCTAGTTTGGTTTCTCCTATAGCTTAGTTGGTAGAGCGTGCGGCTGTTAACCTCAAGGTCGCTGGTTCAAATCCGGCTGGGAGAGCTCCTTTGCACCACGCGCTGTCCAGCCTCATATTGAGCAGCATCTCGTGCACGACGTCGCTTCTACTGTCATTAGATGCACCGATGCTCCGTTATCGACGCCATCACCACCGTATCGGACCGTTCGAATGCGATGCACGTTGCGACATTCTGATCGATGGTCGAGTCCCACCCGGTCTTGGTGACAACATCTTGGTTTTGTTCTTTCTCTGGTGTCAGGTCAGCTGCTTTGTCTCTGTTGTTGCCGTTGTCAAAAGACAGGCTAACGAACTCGAGTGTGAGCTCAAGCAATCGGATGCTGCCTATGACCCGGTGTCAGCCGTCAGTGTCAGTGCTTGTCGTATCCGATCATCATCAGGAAAATGTCCTGTCATGTAATTTGTTGTCTTTTCAGCACAGCGCAAACACTGTAGAGGCTTCCTGATACATGGCAGGTTACAGGAGAAGCAGGTGGTAGTATGTACATAAGCTCACCGAATGTTGCTACTTAAGGGTAAACGTGGCTACTCCCAACGTCGCGAGCAAGTTGCGATGCAAATGTGAACAGAATCTGCAAGAACATTCAGGCACAGCGCAATCTGACGGACAAGACGGCGCGTTGGACAGCTGTGTGCGTGTGCGTAGATGCGTGTATGTTTGATTGTTGCGTTTGTTGGATGGCTAGTTTGGTTTCTCCTATAGCTCAGTTGGTAGAGCGTGCGGCTGTTAACCTCAAGGTCGCTGGTTCAAACCCAGCTGGGAGAGCTCCTTTGCACCACGCGCTGTCCAGCCTCATATTGAGCAGCATCTCGTGCACGACGTCGCTTTTGCTGTCATTAGATGCACCGATTCTCCGTTATCGACGCCATCACCACCGTATTGGACCGTTCGAATGCGATGCACGTTGCAACATTCTGATTGATGGTCGAGTCCCACCCGGTCTTGGTGACAACATCTTGGTTCCGTTCTTTCTTTGGTGTCAGGTGAGATGCTTTGTCGCTGTTGTTGCTGTTGTCAGAAGACAGGCTAACGAACTCGAGTGTGAGCTCAAGCAATCTGATGCTGCCTGTGACCCGGTGTCAGCTGTCAGTGTGAGTGCTGGTCGTATCCGATCATCATCAGGAAAATATCCTGTCATGTAATTTGTTGTCTTTGCAGCACAGCACAACCAATGTAGAGGCTTCCTGATACATGGCAGGGTCCAGGAGAAGCAGGTGGTAGCATGTACATAAGCTCACCGAATGTTGCTACTTAAGGGTACATGTGGCTACTTCCGACGTCGCGAGCAAGTTGCGATGCAGATATGAACAGAACCTGGAAGAACATTCAGGCGCAGCGCAATCTGACGGACAAGACGGCGCGTTGGACAGCTGTGTGCGTGTGCGTAGACGTGTGTATGTTTGATTGTTGCGTTTGTTGGATGGCTAGTTTGGTTTCTCCTATAGCTCAGTTGGTAGAGCGTGCGGCTGTTAACCTCAAGGTCGCTGGTTCAAATCCGGCTGGGAGAGCTCCTTTGCACCACGCGCTGTCCAGCCTCATATTGAGCAGCATCTCGTGCACGACGTCGCTTCTACTGTCATTAGATGCACCGATGCTCCGTTATCGACGCCATCACCACCGTATCGGACCGTTCGAATGCGATGCACGTTGCGACATTCTGATCGATGGTCGAGTCCCACCCGGTCTTGGTGACAACATCTTGGTTTCGTTCTTTCTCTGGTGTCAGGTCAGCTGCTTTGTCTCTGTTGTTGCCGTTGTCAAAAGACAGGCTAACGAACTCGAGTGTGAGCTCAAGCAATCGGATGCTGCCTATGACCCGGTGTCAGCTGTCAGTGTAAGTGCTGGTCGTATCCGATCATCATCAGGAAAATGTCCTGTCATGTAATTTGTTGTCTTTTCAGCACAGCACAAACACTGTAGAGGCTTCCTGATACATGGCAGGTTCCAGGAGAAGCAGGTGGTAGTATGTACATAAGCTCACCGAATGTTGCTACTTAAGGGTAAACGTGGCTACTCCCAACGTCGCGAGCAAGTTGCGATGCAGATATGAACAGAATCTGGACGAGCATTCAGGCACAGCGCAATCTGACGGACAAGACGGCGCGTTGGACAGCTGTGTGCGTGTGCGTAGATGCGTGTATGTTTGATTGTTGCGTTTGTTGGATGGCTAGTTTGGTTTCTCCTATAGCTCAGTTGGTAGAGCGTGCGGCTGTTAACCTCAAGGTCGCTGGTTCAAACCCAGCTGGGAGAGCTCCTTTGCACCACGCGCTGTCCAGCCTCATATTGAGCAGCATCTCGTGCACGACGTCGCTTCTACTGTCATTAAACCTGATGCACCGATGCTCCGTTATCGACGCCATCACACACCACCTTATGGGTCCGTTGGGAGGGGGTGCGCGGGGGGCCTTTCTGGGCGGGGGGCGGGCCCCACCCGGTCTTGGTGACAACATCTTGGTTTCGTTCTTTCTCTGGTGCCAGGTGAGCTACTTTGTCGCTATTGTCGCCGTTGTCAAAAGACAGGCTAACGAACTCGAGTGTAAGCTCAAGCAATCGGATACTGCCTGTGATGTGGAGTCGGCTGTCAGTGTAAGTGCTGGTCGTATCCGATCATCATCAGGAAAATATCCTGTCATGTAATTTGTTGTCTTTGCAGCACAGCACAACCAATGTAGAGGCTTCCTGATACATGGCAGGGTCCAGGAGAAGCAGGTGGTAGCATGTACATAAGCTCACCGAATGTTGCTACTTAGGAGGGTACACGTGTGGCTACTCCCGACGTCGCGAGCAAGTTGCGATGCAGATATGAACAGAACCTGGAAGGACATTCAGGCACAGCGCAATCTGACGGACAAGACGGCGCGTTGGACAGCTGTGTGCGTGTGCGTAGATGTGTGTATGTTTGATTGTTGCGTTTGTTGGATGGCTAGTTTGGTTTCTCCTATAGCTCAGTTGGTAGAGCGTGTGGCTGTTAACCTCAAGGTCGCTGGTTCAAACCCAGCTGGGAGAGATCCTTTGCACCACGCGCTGTCCAGCCTCATATTGAGCAGCATCTCGTGCACGACGTCGCTTCTGCTGTCATTAGATGCACCGATTCTCCGTTATCGACGCCATCACCACCGTATTGGACCGTTCGAATGCGATGCACGTTGCAACATTCTGATTGATGGTCGAGTCCCACCCCGGTCTTGGTGACAACATCTTGGTTCCGTTCTTTCTTTGGTGTCAGGTGAGATGCTTTGTCTCTGTTGTTGCTGTTGTCAGAAGACAGGCTAACGAACTCGAGTGTGAGCTCAAGCAATCGGATGCTGCCTGTGACCCGGTGTCAGCTGTCAGTGTGAGTGCTGGTCGTATCCGATCATCATCAGGAAAATATCCTGTCATGTAATTTGTTGTCTTTTCAGCACAGCACAACCAATGTAGAGGCTTCCTGATACATGGCAGGTTCCAGGAGAAGCAGGTGGTAGCATGTACATAAGCTCACCGAATGTTGCTACTTAAGGGTAAATGTGGCTACTTCCAACGTCGCGAGCAAGTTGCGATGCAGATATGAACAGAACCTGGAAGAACATTCAGGCACAGCGCAATCTGACGGACAAGACGGCGCGTTGGACAGCTGTGTGCGCGTGCGTAGACGCGTGTATGTTTGATTGTTGCGTTTGTTGGATGGCTAGTTTGGTTTCTCCTATAGCTTAGTTGGTAGAGCGTGTGGCTGTTAACCTCAAGGTCGCTGGTTCAAACCCAGCTGGGAGAGATCCTTTGCACCACGCGCTGTCCAGCCTCATATTGAGCAGCATCTCGTGCACGACGTCGCTTCTACTGTCATTAGATGCACCGATGCTCCGTTATCGACGCCATCACCACCGTATTGGACCGTTCCGAATGCGATGCACGTTGCGACATTCTGATCGATGGTCGAGTCCCACCCGGTCTTGGTGACAACATCTTGGTTTCGTTCTTTCTCTGGTGTCAGGCAGCTGCTTTGTCTCTGTTGTTGCCGTTGTCAAAAGACAGGCTAACGAACTCGAGTGTGAGCTCAAGCAATCCGGATACTGCCTATGACCCGGTGTCGGCTGTCAGTGTAAGTGCTGGTCGTATCCGATCATCATCAGGAAAATGTCCTGTCATGTAATTTGTTGTCTTTTCAGCACAGCATAACCACTGTAGAGGCTTCCTGATACATGGCAGGTTCCAGGAGAAGCAGGTGGTAGTATGTACATAAGCTCCACCGAATGTTGCTACTTAAGGGTAAACGTGGCTACTCCCAACGTCGCGAGCAAGTTGCGATGCAGATATGAACAGAATCTGCAAGAACATTCAGGCACAGCGCAATCTGACGGACAAGACGGCGCGTTGGACAGCTGTGTGCGTGTGCGTAGATGCGTGTATGTTTGATTGTTGCGTTTGTTGGATGGCTAGTTTGGTTTCTCCTATAGCTCAGTTGGTAGAGCGTGCGGCTGTTAACCTCAAGGTCGCTGGTTCAAACCCAGCTGGGAGAGCTCCTTTGCACCACGCGCTGTCCAGCCTCATATTGAGCAGCATCTCGTGCACGACGTCGCTTCTACTGTCATTAGATGCACCGATGCTCCGTTATCGACGCCATCACCACCGTATTGGACCGTTCGAATGCGATGCACGTTGCGACATTCTGATCGATGGTCGAGTCCCACCCGGTCTTGGTGACAACATCTTGGTTTCGTTCTTTCTCTGGTGTCAGGTCAGCTGCTTTGTCTCTGTTGTTGCCGTTGTCAGAAGACAGGCTAACGAACTCGAGTGTGAGCTCAAGCAATCGGATGCTGCCTATGACCCGGTGTCAGCTGTCAGTGTAAGTGCTGGTCGTATCCGATCATCATCAGGAAAATGTCCTGTCATGTAATTTGTTGTCTTTTCAGCACAGCACAACCACTGTAGAGGCTTCCTGATACATGGCAGGGTCCAGGAGAAGCAGGTGGTAGCATGTACATAAGCTCACCGAATGTTGCTACTTAAGGGGTAAGCGTTGCTACTCCCAACGTCGCGAGCAAGTTGCGATGCAGATATGAACAGAATCTGCGAAGAACATTCAGGCCACAGCGCAATCTGACGGACAAGACGGCGCGTTGGACAGCTGTGTGCGTGTGCGTAGATGCGTGTATGTTTGATTGTTGCGTTTGTTGGATGGCTAGTTTGGTTTCTCCTATAGCTCAGTTGGTAGAGCGTGCGGCTGTTAACCTCAAGGTCGCTGGTTCAAACCCAGCTGGGAGAGCTCCTTTGCACCACGCGCTGTCCAGCCTCATATTGAGCAGCATCTCGTGCACGACGTCGCTTCTACTGTCATTAGATGCACCGATGCTCCGTTATCGACGCCATCACCACCGTATCGGACCGTTCGAATGCGATGCATGTTGCGACATTCTGATCGATGGTCGAGTCCCACCCGGTCTTGGTGACAACATCTTGGTTTCTTTCTTTCTCTGGTGTCAGGTCAGCTGCTTTGTCTCTGTTGTTGCCGTTGTCAAAAGACAGGCTAACGAACTCGAGTGTGAGCTCAAGCAATCGGATGCTGCCTATGACCCGGTGTCAGCTGTCAGTGTAAGTGCTGGTCGTATCCGATCATCATCAGGGAAAATGTCCTGTCATGTAATTTGTTGTCTTTTCAGCACAGCACAACCACTGTAGAGGTTTCCTGATACATGGCAGGTTCCAGGAGAAGCAGGTGGTAGTATGTACATAAGCTCACCGAATGTTGCTACTTAAGGGTAAACGTGGCTACTCCCAACGTCGCGAGCAAGTTGCGATGCAGATATGAACAGAATCTGGAAGAACATTCAGGCACAGCGCAATGTGACGGACAAGACGGCGCGTTGGACAGCTGTGTGCGTGTGCGTAGATGCGTGTATGTTTGATTGTTTCATTTGTTGGATGGCTAGTTTGGTTTCTCCTATAGCTCAGTTGGTAGAGCGTGCGGCTGTTAACCTCAAGGTCGCTGGTTCAAACCCAGCTGGGAGAGCTCCTTTGCACCACGCGCTGTCCAGCCTCATATTGAGCAGCATCTCGTGCACGACGTCGCTTCTACTGTCATTAGATGCACCGATGCTCCGTTATCGACGCCATCACCACCGTATTGGACCGTTCGTAAATGCGATGCACGTTGCGACATTCTGATCGATGGTCGAGTCCCACCCGGTCTTGGTGACAACATCTTGGTTTCGTTCTTTCTCTGGTGTCAGGTCAGCTACTTTGTCTCTGTTGTTGCCGTTGTCAAAAGACAGGCTAACGAACTCGAGTGTGAGCTCAAGCAATCGGATACTGCCTATGACCCGGTGTCGGCTGTCAGTGTAAGTGCTGGTCGTATCCGATCATCATCAGGAAAATGTCCTGTCATGTATTTTGTTGTCTTTTCAGCACAGCATAACCACTGTAGAGGCTTCCTGATACACGGCAGGGTTCAGGAGTAGCAGGTGGTAGTATGTACATAAGCTCACCGAATGTTGCTACTTAAGGGTAAACGTGGCTACTCCCAACGTCGCGAGCAAGTCGAGATGTAGATATGAACAGAATCTGCAAGAACATTCAGGCACAGCGCAATCTGACGGACAAGACGGCGCGTTGGACAGCTGTGTGCGTGTGCGTAGATGCGTGTATGTTTGATTGTTGCGTTTGTTGGATGGCCAGTTTGGTTTCTCCTATAGCTCAGTTGGTAGAGCGTGCGGCTGTTAACCTCAAGGTTGCTGGTTCAAACCCAGCTGGGAGAGCTCCTTTGCACCACGCGCTGTCCAGCCTCATATTGAGCAGCATCTCGTGCACGACGTCGCTTCTACTGTCATTAGATGCACCGATGCTCCGTTATCGACGCCATCACCACCGTATCGGACCGTTCGAATGCGATGCATGTTGCGACATTCTGATCGATGGTCGAGTCCAACCCGGTCTTGGTGACAACACCTTGGTTTCGTTCTTTCTCTGGTGTCAGGTCAGCTGCTTTGTCTCTGTTGTTGCTGTTGTCAAAAGACAGGCTAACGAACTCGAGTGTGAGCTCAAGCAATCGGATACTGCCTATGACCCGGTGTCAGCTGTCAGTGTAAGTGCTGGTCGTATCCGATCATCATCAGGAAAAATGTCCTGTCATGTAATTTGTTGTCTTTTCAGCACAGCACATAACCACTGTGAAGGGCTTCCTGGATACATGGCAGAGGTTCCAGGAGAAGCAGGTGGTAGCATGTACATAAGCTCACCGAATGTTGCTACTTAAGGGTGGCAAGTGGCTACTCCCAACGTCGCGAGCAAGTTGCGATGCAGATATGAACAGAATCTGGAAGAGCATTCAGGCACAGCGCAATCTGACGGACAAGACGGCGCGTTGAAGCTGTGTGCGTGTGCGTAGATGCGTGTATGTTTGATTGTTGCGTTTGTTGGATGGCTAGTTTGGTTTCTCCTATAGCTCAGTTGGTAGAGGCGTGCGGCTGTTAACCTCCAAGGTCGCTGGTTCAAACCCAGCTGGGAGAGCTCCTTTGCACCACGCGCTGTCCAGCCTCATATTGAGCAGCATCTCGTGCACGACGTCGCTTCTGTGTCATTAGATGCACCGATGCTCCGTTATCGACGCCATCACCACCGTATCGGACCGTTCGAATGCGATGCATGTTGCGACATTCTGATCGATGGTCGAGTCCCACCCGGTCTTGGTGACAACATCTTGGTTTCGTTCTTTCTCTGGTGTCAGGTCAGCTGCTTTGTCTCTGTTGTTGCCGTTGTCAAATACAGGCTAACAAACTTGAGTGTGAGCTCAAGCAATCGGATACTGCCTATGATCCGGTGTCAGCTGTCAGTGTAAGTGCTGGTCGTATCCGATAATCATCAGGAAAATGTCCTGTCATGTAATTTGTTGTCTTTTCAGCACAGCATAACCACTGTAGAGGCTTCCTGATACATGGCAGGGTTCAGGAGAAGCAGGTGGTAGCATGTACATAAGCCTCACTGAATGTTGCTACTTAAGAGGTAAACGTGGCTACTCCCAACGTCGCGAGCAAGTTGCGATGCAGATGTGAACAGAATCTGAACGAACATTCAGGCACAGCGCAATCTGACGGACAAGACGGCGCGTTGGACAGCTGTGTGCGTGTGCGTAGATGCGTGTATGTTTGATTGTTGCGTTTGTTGGATGGCTAGTTTGGTTTCTCCTATGGCTCAGTTGGTAGAGCGTGCGGCTGTTAACCTCAAGGTCGCTGGTTCAAACCCAGCTGGGAGAGCTCCTTTGCACCACGCGCTGTCCAGCCTCATATTGAGCAGCATCTCGTGCACGACGTCGCTTCTACTGTCATTAGATGCACCGATGCTCCGTTATCGACGCCATCACCACCGGTATCGGACCGTTCGAATGCGATGCATAAGCTGCGACATTCTTGATCGATGGTCGAGTCCAACCCGGTCTTGGTGACAACACCTTGGTTTCCTTTCTTTCCTGGTGTGGTCAGGTTTTTTGTTGTTTTTTTTAAAAAAGGGACGAACTTGGGGGAGCTCAAGCAATCGGATACTGCCTATGACCCGGTGTCAGCTGTCAGTGTAAGTGCTGGTCGTATCCGATCATCATCAGGAAAATGTCCTGTCATGTAATTTGTTGTCTTTTCAGCACAGCACAACCACTGTAGAGGCTTCCTGATACATGGCAGGTTTCCAGGAGAAGCAGGTGATAGCTTGTACATAAGCTCACCGAATGTTGCTACTTAAGGGTAAGCGTGGCTACTACCAACGTCGCGAGCAAGTTGCGATGCAGATATGAACAGAATCTCGAAGGACATTCAGGCACAGCGCAATCTGACGGACAAGACGGCGCGTTGGACAGCTGTGTGCGTGTGCGTAGATGCGTGTATGTTTGATTGTTGCGTTTGTTGGATGGCTAGTTTGGTTTCTCCTATAGCTGAGTTGGTAGAGCGTGTGGCTGTTAACCTCAAGGTCGCTGGTTCAAACCCAGCTGGGAGAGATCCTTTGCACCACGCGCTGTCCAGCCTCATATTGAGCAGCATCTCGTGCACGACGTCGCTTCTACTGTCATTAGATGCACCGATGCTCCGTTATCGACGCCATCACCACCGTATTGGACCGTTCGAATGCGATGCACGTTGCGACATTCTGATCGATGGTCGAGTCCCACCCGGTCTTGGTGACAACATCTTGGTTTGTTCTTTCTCTGGTGTCAGGTCAGCTGCTTTGTCTCTGTTGTTGCCGTTGTCAAAAGACAGGCTAACGAACTCGAGTGTGAGCTCAAGCAATCGGATACTGCCTATGACCCGGTGTCAGCTGTCAGTGTAAGTGCTGGTCGTATCCGATCATCATCAGGAAAATGTCCTGTCATGTAATTTGTTGTCTTTTCAGCACAGCACAACCACTGTAGAGGCTTCCTGATATAAAGCAGGGTCCAGGAGAAGCAGGTGGTAGCATGTACATAAGCTCACCGAATGTTGCTACTTAAGGGTAAGCGTGGCTACTACCAACGTCGCGAGCAAGTTGCGATGCAGATATGAACAGAATCTGGAAGGACATTCAGGCGCAGCGCAATCTGACGGACAAGACGGCGCGTTGGACAGCTGTGTGCGTGTGCGTAGATGCGTGTATGTTTGATTGTTGCGTTTGTTGGATGGCTAGTTTGGTTTCTCCTATAGCTCAGTTGGTAGAGCGTGCGGCTGTTAACCTCAAGGTCGCTGGTTCAAACCCAGCTGGGAGAGCTCCTTTGCACCACGCGCTGTCCAGCCTCATATTGAGCAGCATCTCGTGCACGACGTCGCTTTTGCTGTCATTAGATGCACCGATGCTCCGTTATCGACGCCATCACCACCGTATTGGACCGTTCGAATGCGATGCACGTTGCGACATTCTGATCGATGGTCGAGTCCCACCCGGTCTTGGTGACAACATCTTGGTTTTGTTCTTTCTCTGGTGTCAGGTCAGCTGCTTTGTCTCTGTTGTTGCCGTTGTCAAAAGACAGGCTAACGAACTCGAGTGTGAGCTCAAGCAATCGGATACTGCCTATGACCCGGTGTCAGCTGTCAGTGTAAGTGCTGGTCGTATCCGATCATCATCAGGAAAATGTCCTGTCATGTAATTTGTTGTCTTTTCAGCACAGCACAACCACTGTAGAGGCTTCCTGATACATGGCAGGTTCCAGGAGAAGCAGGTGATAGCTTGTACATAAGCTCACCGAATGTTGCTACTTAAGGGTAAGCGTGGCTACTACCAACGTCGCGAGCAAGTTGCGATGCAGATATGAACAGAATCTGGAAGAACATTCAGGCACAGCGCAATCTGACGGACAAGACGGCGCGTTGGACAGCTGTGTGCGTGTGCGTAGATGCGTGTATGTTTGATTGTTGCGTTTGTTGGATGGCTAGTTTGGTTTCTCCTATAGCTCAGTTGGTAGAGCGTGCGGCTGTTAACCTCAAGGTCGCTGGTTCAAACCCAGCTGGGAGAGCTCCTTTGCACCACGCGCTGTCCAGCCTCATATTGAGCAGCATCTCGTGCACGACGTCGCTTCTACTGTCATTAGATGCACCGATGCTCCGTTATCGACGCCATCACCACCGTATTGGACCGTTCGAATGCGATGCACGTTGCGACATTCTGATCGATGGTCGAGTCCCACCCGGTCTTGGTGACAACATCTTGGTTTTGTTCTTTCTCTGGTGTCAGGTCAGCTGCTTTGTCTCTGTTGTTGCCGTTGTCAAAAGACAGGCTAACGAACTCGAGTGTGAGCTCAAGCAATCGGATACTGCCTATGACCCGGTGTCAGCTGTCAGTGTAAGTGCTGGTCGTATCCGATCATCATCAGGAAAATGTCCTGTCATGTAATTTGTTGTCTTTTCAGCACAGCACAACCACTGTAGAGGCTTCCTGATACATGGCAGGTTCCAGGAGAAGCAGGTGATAGCTTGTACATAAGCTCACCGAATGTTGCTACTTAAGGGAAAACGTGGCTACTACCAACGTCGCGAGCAAGTTGCGATGCAGATATGAACAGAATCTCGAAGGACATTCAGGCACAGCGCAATCTGACGGACAAGACGGCGCGTTGGACAGCTGTGTGCGTGTGCGTAGATGCGTGTATGTTTGATTGTTGCGTTTGTTGGATGGCTAGTTTGGTTTCTCCTATAGCTCAGTTGGTAGAGCGTGCGGCTGTTAACCTCAAGGTCGCTGGTTCAAACCCAGCTGGGAGAGCTCCTTTGCACCACGCGCTGTCCAGCCTCATATTGAGCAGCATCTCGTGCACGACGTCGATTCTGCTGTCATTAGATGCACCGATGCTCCGTTATCGACGCCATCACCACCGTATTGGACCGTTCGAATGCGATGCACGTTGCGACATTCTGATCGATGGTCGAGTCCCACCCGGTCTTGATGACAACATCTTGGTTTTGTTCTTTCTCTGGTGTCAGGTCAGCTGCTTTGTCTCTGTTGTTGCCGTTGTCAAAAGACAGGCTAACGAACTCGAGTGTGAGCTCAAGCAATCGGATACTGCCTATGACCCGGTGTCAGCTGTCAGTGTAAGTGCTGGTCGTATCCGATCATCATCAGGAAAATGTCCTGTCATGTAATTTGTTGTCTTTTCAGCACAGCACAACCACTGTAGAGGCTTCCTGATACACGGCAGGTTTCAGGAGAAGCAGGTGATAGCTTGTATATAAGCTCACCGAATGTTGCTACTTAAGGGTAAGCGTGGCTACTACCAACGTCGCGAGCAAGTTGCGATGCAGATATGAACAGAATCTCGAAGGACATTCAGACACAGCGCAATCTGACGGACAAGACGGCGCGTTGGACAGCTGTGTGCGTGTGCGTAGATGCGTGTATGTTTGATTGCTGCGTTTGTTGGATGGCTAGTTTGGTTTCTCCTATAGCTCAGTTGGTAGAGCGTGCGGCTGTTAACCTCAAGGTCGCTGGTTCAAACCCAGCTGGGAGAGCTCCTTTGCACCACGCGCTGTCCAGCCTCATATTGAGCAGCATCTCGTGCACGACGTCGATTCTGCTGTCATTAGATGCACCGATGCTCCGTTATCGACGCCATCACCACCGTATTGGACCGTTCGAATGCGATGCACGTTGCGACATTCTGATCGATGGTCGAGTCCCACCCGGTCTTGGTGACAACATCTTGGTTTTGTTCTTTCTCTGGTGTCAGGTCAGCTGCTTTGTCTCTGTTGTTGCCGTTGTCAAAAGACAGGCTAACGAACTCGAGTGTGAGCTCAAGCAATCGGATACTGCCTATGACCCGGTGTCAGCTGTCAGTGTAAGTGCTGGTCGTATCCGATCATCATCAGGAAAATGTCCTGTCATGTAATTTGTTGTCTTTTCAGCACAGCACAACCACTGTAGAGGTTTCCTGATACATGGCAGGTTTCAGGAGAAGCAGGTGATAGCTTGTATATAAGCTCACCGAATGTTGCTACTTAAGGGTAAGCGTGGCTACTACCAACGTCGCGAGCAAGTTGCGATGCAGATATGAACAGAATCTCGAAGGACATTCAGACACAGCGCAATCTGACGGACAAGACGGCGCGTTGGACAGCTGTGTGCGTGTGCGTAGATGCGTGTATGTTTGATTGCTGCGTTTGTTGGATGGCTAGTTTGGTTTCTCCTATAGCTCAGTTGGTAGAGCGTGCGGCTGTTAACCTCAAGGTCGCTGGTTCAAACCCAGCTGGGAGAGCTCCTTTGCACCACGCGCTGTCCAGCCTCATATTGAGCAGCATCTCGTGCACGACGTCGCTTCTACTGTCATTAGATGCACCGATGCTCCGTTATCGACGCCATCACCACCGTATTGGACCGTTCGAATGCGATGCACGTTGCGACATTCTGATCGATGGTCGAGTCCCACCCGGTCTTGGTGACAACATCTTGGTTTCGTTCTTTCTCTGGTGTCAGGTCAGCTGCTTTGTCTCTGTTGTTGCCGTTGTCAAAAGACAGGCTAACGAACTCGAGTGTGAGCTCAAGCAATCGGATACTGCCTATGACCCGGTGTCAGCTGTCAGTGTAAGTGCTGGTCGTATCCGATCATCATCAGGAAAATGTCCTGTCATGTAATTTGTTGTCTTTTCAGCACAGCATAACCACTGTAGAGGTTTCCTGATACATGGCAGGTTCCAGGAGAAGCAGGTGGTAGCATGTACATAAGCTCACCGAATGTTGCTACTTAAGGGTAAACGTGGCTGCTTCCTACGTCGCGAGCAAGTTGCGATGCAGATATGAACAGAATCTCGAAGGACATTCAGACACAGCGCAATCTGACGGACAAGACGGCGCGTTGGACAGCTGTGTGCGTGTGCGTAGATGCGTGTATGTTTGATTGTTGCGTTTGTTGGATGGCTAGTTTGGTTTCTCCTATAGCTCAGTTGGTAGAGCGTGCGGCTGTTAACCTCAAGGTCGCTGGTTCAAACCCAGCTGGGAGAGCTCCTTTGCACCACGCGCTGTCCAGCCTCATATTGAGCAGCATCTCGTGCACGACGTCGCTTCTACTGTCATTAGATGCACCGATGCTCCGTTATCGACGCCATCACCACCGTATTGGACCGTTCGAATGCGATGCACGTTGCGACATTCTGATCGATGGTCGAGTCCCACCCGGTCTTGGTGACAACATCTTGGTTTCGTTCTTTCTCTGGTGTCAGACCAGCTGCTTTGTCTCTGTTGTTGCCGTTGTCAAGAAGACAGGCTAACGAACTCGAGTGTGAGCTCAAGCAATCGGATACTGCCTATGACCCGGTGTCAGCTGTCAGTGTAAGTGCTGGTCGTATCCGATCATCATCAGGAAAATGTCCTGTCATGTAATTTGTTGTCTTTTCAGCACAGCACAACCACTGTAGAGGCTTCCTGATACACGGCAGGTTTCAGGAGAAGCAGGTGATAGCTTGTATATAAGCTCACCGAATGTTGCTACTTAAGGGTAAGCGTGGCTACTACCAACGTCGCGAGCAAGTTGCGATGCAGATATGAACAGAATCTCGAAGGACATTCAGACACAGCGCAATCTGACGGACAAGACGGCGCGTTGGACAGCTGTGTGCGTGTGCGTAGATGCGTGTATGTTTGATTGCTGCGTTTGTTGGATGGCTAGTTTGGTTTCTCCTATAGCTCAGTTGGTAGAGCGTGCGGCTGTTAACCTCAAGGTCGCTGGTTCAAACCCAGCTGGGAGAGCTCCTTTGCACCACGCGCTGTCCAGCCTCATATTGAGCAGCATCTCGTGCACGACGTCGATTCTGCTGTCATTAGATGCACCGATGCTCCGTTATCGACGCCATCACCACCGTATTGGACCGTTCGAATGCGATGCACGTTGCGACATTCTGATCGATGGTCGAGTCCCACCCGGTCTTGGTGACAACATCTTGGTTTCGTTCTTTCTCTGGTGTCAGACCAGCTGCTTTGTCTCTGTTGTTGCCTTTGTCAGAAGACAGGCTAACGAACTCGAGTGTGAGCTCAAGCAATCGGATACTGCCTATGACCCGGTGTCAGCTGTCAGTGTAAGTGCTGGTCGTATCCGATCATCATCAGGAAAATGTCCTGTCATGTAATTTGTTGTCTTTTCAGCACAGCACAACCACTGTAGAGGCTTCCTGATACACGGCAGGTTTCAGGAGAAGCAGGTGATAGCTTGTATATAAGCTCACCGAATGTTGCTACTTAAGGGTAAGCGTGGCTACTACCAACGTCGCGAGCAAGTTGCGATGCAGATATGAACAGAATCTCGAAGGACATTCAGACACAGCGCAATCTGACGGACAAGACGGCGCGTTGGACAGCTGTGTGCGTGTGCGTAGATGCGTGTATGTTTGATTGCTGCGTTTGTTGGATGGCTAGTTTGGTTTCTCCTATAGCTGAGTTGGTAGAGCGTGTGGCTGTTAACCTCAAGGTCGCTGGTTCAAACCCAGCTGGGAGAGATCCTTTGCACCACGCGCTGTCCAGCCTCATATTGAGCAGCATCTCGTGCACGACGTCGCTTCTACTGTCATTAGATGCACCGATGCTCCGTTATCGACGCCATCACCACCGTATTGGACCGTTCGAATGCGATGCACGTTGCGACATTCTGATCGATGGTCGAGTCCCACCCGGTCTTGGTGACAACATCTTGGTTTTGTTCTTTCTCTGGTGTCAGGTCAGCTGCTTTGTCTCTGTTGTTGCCGTTGTCAAAAGACAGGCTAACGAACTCGAGTGTGAGCTCAAGCAATCGGATACTGCCTATGACCCGGTGTCAGCTGTCAGTGTAAGTGCTGGTCGTATCCGATCATCATCAGGAAAATGTCCTGTCATGTAATTTGTTGTCTTTTCAGCACAGCATAACCACTGTAGAGGCTTCCTGATACATGGCAGGTTCCAGGAGAAGCAGGTGGTAGCATGTACATAAGCTCACCGAATGTTGCTACTTAAGGGTAAACGTGGCTACTACCAACGTCGCGAGCAAGTTGCGATGCAGATATGAACAGAATCTCGAAGGACATTCAGACACAGCGCAATCTGACGGACAAGACGGCGCGTTGGACAGCTGTGTGCGTGTGCGTAGATGCGTGTATGTTTGATTGTTGCGTTTGTTGGATGGCTAGTTTGGTTTCTCCTATAGCTCAGTTGGTAGAGCGTGCGGCTGTTAACCTCAAGGTCGCTGGTTCAAACCCAGCTGGGAGAGCTCCTTTGCACCACGCGCTGTCCAGCCTCATATTGAGCAGCATCTCGTGCACGACGTCGCTTCTACTGTCATTAGATGCACCGATGCTCCGTTATCGACGCCATCACCACCGTATTGGACCGTTCGAATGCGATGCACGTTGCGACATTCTGATCGATGGTCGAGTCCCACCCGGTCTTGGTGACAACATCTTGGTTTCGTTCTTTCTCTGGTGTCAGGTCAGCTGCTTTGTCTCTGTTGTTGCCTTTGTCAGAAGACAGGCTAACGAACTCGAGTGTGAGCTCAAGCAATCGGATACTGCCTATGACCCGGTGTCAGCTGTCAGTGTAAGTGCTGGTCGTATCCGATCATCATCAGGAAAATGTCCTGTCATGTAATTTGTTGTCTTTTCAGCACAGCACAACCACTGTAGAGGCTTCCTGATACACGGCAGGTTTCAGGAGAAGCAGGTGATAGCTTGTATATAAGCTCACCGAATGTTGCTACTTAAGGGTAAGCGTGGCTACTACCAACGTCGCGAGCAAGTTGCGATGCAGATATGAACAGAATCTCGAAGGACATTCAGACACAGCGCAATCTGACGGACAAGACGGCGCGTTGGACAGCTGTGTGCGTGTGCGTAGATGCGTGTATGTTTGATTGCTGCGTTTGTTGGATGGCTAGTTTGGTTTCTCCTATAGCTGAGTTGGTAGAGCGTGTGGCTGTTAACCTCAAGGTCGCTGGTTCAAACCCAGCTGGGAGAGCTCCTTTGCACCACGCGCTGTCCAGCCTCATATTGAGCAGCATCTCGTGCACGACGTCGCTTCTACTGTCATTAGATGCACCGATGCTCCGTTATCGACGCCATCACCACCGTATTGGACCGTTCGAATGCGATGCACGTTGCGACATTCTGATCGATGGTCGAGTCCCACCCGGTCTTGGTGACAACATCTTGGTTTCGTTCTTTCTCTGGTGTCAGGTCAGCTGCTTTGTCTCTGTTGTTGCCGTTGTCAAAAGACAGGCTAACGAACTCGAGTGTGAGCTCAAGCAATCGGATACTGCCTATGACCCGGTGTCAGCTGTCAGTGTAAGTGCTGGTCGTATCCGATCATCATCAGGAAAATGTCCTGTCATGTAATTTGTTGTCTTTTCAGCACAGCATAACCACTGTAGAGGCTTCCTGATACATGGCAGGTTCCAGGAGAAGCAGGTGGTAGCATGTACATAAGCTCACCGAATGTTGCTACTTAAGGGTAAGCGTGGCTACTCCCAACGTCGCGAGCAAGTTGCGATGCAGATATGAACAGAATCTCGAAGGACATTCAGACACAGCGCAATCTGACGGACAAGACGGCGCGTTGGACAGCTGTGTGCGTGTGCGTAGATGCGTGTATGTTTGATTGTTGCGTTTGTTGGATGGCTAGTTTGGTTTCTCCTATAGCTCAGTTGGTAGAGCGTGCGGCTGTTAACCTCAAGGTCGCTGGTTCAAACCCAGCTGGGAGAGCTCCTTTGCACCACGCGCTGTCCAGCCTCATATTGAGCAGCATCTCGTGCACGACGTCGATTCTGCTGTCATTAGATGCACCGATGCTCCGTTATCGACGCCATCACCACCGTATTGGACCGTTCGAATGCGATGCACGTTGCGACATTCTGATCGATGGTCGAGTCCCACCCGGTCTTGGTGACAACATCTTGGTTTTGTTCTTTCTCTGGTGTCAGGTCAGCTGCTTTGTCTCTGTTGTTGCCGTTGTCAAAAGACATGCTAACGAACTCGAGTGTGAGCTCAAGCAATCGGATACTGCCTATGACCCGGTGTCAGCTGTCAGTGTAAGTGCTGGTCGTATCCGATCATCATCAGGAAAATGTCCTGTCATGTAATTTGTTGTCTTTTCAGCACAGCACAACCACTGTAGAGGCTTCCTGATACACGGCAGGTTTCAGGAGAAGCAGGTGATAGCTTGTATATAAGCTCACCGAATGTTGCTACTTAAGGGTAAGCGTGGCTACTACCAACGTCGCGAGCAAGTTGCGATGCAGATATGAACAGAATCTCGAAGGACATTCAGACACAGCGCAATCTGACGGACAAGACGGCGCGTTGGACAGCTGTGTGCGTGTGCGTAGATGCGTGTATGTTTGATTGCTGCGTTTGTTGGATGGCTAGTTTGGTTTCTCCTATAGCTCAGTTGGTAGAGCGTGCGGCTGTTAACCTCAAGGTCGCTGGTTCAAACCCAGCTGGGAGAGCTCCTTTGCACCACGCGCTGTCCAGCCTCATATTGAGCAGCATCTCGTGCACGACGTCGCTTCTACTGTCATTAGATGCACCGATGCTCCGTTATCGACGCCATCACCACCGTATTGGACCGTTCGAATGCGATGCACGTTGCGACATTCTGATCGATGGTCGAGTCCCACCCGGTCTTGATGACAACATCTTGGTTTTGCTCTTTCTCTGGTGTCAGGTCAGCTGCTTTGTCTCTGTTGTTGCCGTTGTCAAAAGACATGCTAACGAACTCGAGTGTGAGCTCAAGCAATCGGATACTGCCTATGACCCGGTGTCAGCTGTCAGTGTAAGTGCTGGTCGTATCCGATCATCATCAGGAAAATGTCCTGTCATGTAATTTGTTGTCTTTTCAGCACAGCACAACCACTGTAGAGGCTTCCTGATACACGGCAGGTTTCAGGAGAAGCAGGTGATAGCTTGTATATAAGCTCACCGAATGTTGCTACTTAAGGGTAAGCGTGGCTACTACCAACGTCGCGAGCAAGTTGCGATGCAGATATGAACAGAATCTCGAAGGACATTCAGACACAGCGCAATCTGACGGACAAGACGGCGCGTTGGACAGCTGTGTGCGTGTGCGTAGATGCGTGTATGTTTGATTGCTGCGTTTGTTGGATGGCTAGTTTGGTTTCTCCTATAGCTGAGTTGGTAGAGCGTGTGGCTGTTAACCTCAAGGTCGCTGGTTCAAACACAGCTGGGAGAGCTCCTTTGCACCACGCGCTGTCCAGCCTCATATTGAGCAGCATCTCGTGCACGACGTCGCTTCTACTGTCATTAGATGCACCGATGCTCCGTTATCGACGCCATCACCACCGTATTGGACCGTTCGAATGCGATGCATGTTGCGACATTCTGATCGATGGTCGAGTCCCACCCGGTCTTGGTGACAACATCTTGGTTGTGTTCTTTCTCTGGTGTCAGGTCAGCTGCTTTGTCTCTGTTGTTGCCTTTGTCAAAAGACAGGCTAACGAACTCGAGTGTGAGCTCAAGCAATCGGATACTGCCTATGACCCGGTGTCAGCTGTCAGTGTAAGTGCTGGTCGTATCCGATCATCATCAGGAAAATGTCCTGTCATGTAATTTGTTGTCTTTTCAGCACAGCACAACCACTGTAGAGGCTTCCTGATACACGGCAGGTTTCAGGAGAAGCAGGTGATAGCTTGTATATAAGCTCACCGAATGTTGCTACTTAAGGGTAAGCGTGGCTACTACCAACGTCGCGAGCAAGTTGCGATGCAGATATGAACAGAATCTCGAAGGACATTCAGACACAGCGCAATCTGACGGACAAGACGGCGCGTTGGACAGCTGTGTGCGTGTGCGTAGATGCGTGTATGTTTGATTGCTGCGTTTGTTGGATGGCTAGTTTGGTTTCTCCTATAGCTGAGTTGGTAGAGCGTGTGGCTGTTAACCTCAAGGTCGCTGGTTCAAACCCAGCTGGGAGAGATCCTTTGCACCACGCGCTGTCCAGCCTCATATTGAGCAGCATCTCGTGCACGACGTCGCTTCTGCTGTCATTAGATGCACCGATGCTCCGTTATCGACGCCATCACCACCGTATTGGACCGTTCGAATGCGATGCACGTTGCGACATTCTGATCGATGGTCGAGTCCCACCCGGTCTTGATGACAACATCTTGGTTTTGCTCTTTCTCTGGTGTCAGGTCAGCTGCTTTGTCTCTGTTGTTGCCGTTGTCAAAAGACAGGCTAACGAACTCGAGTGTGAGCTCAAGCAATCGGATACTGCCTATGACCCGGTGTCAGCTGTCAGTGTAAGTGCTGGTCGTATCCGATCATCATCAGGAAAATGTCCTGTCATGTAATTTGTTGTCTTTTCAGCACAGCACAACCACTGTAGAGGCTTCCTGATACACGGCAGGTTTCAGGAGAAGCAGGTGATAGCTTGTATATAAGCTCACCGAATGTTGCTACTTAAGGGTAAGCGTGGCTACTACCAACGTCGCGAGCAAGTTGCGATGCAGATATGAACAGAATCTCGAAGGACATTCAGACACAGCGCAATCTGACGGACAAGACGGCGCGTTGGACAGCTGTGTGCGTGTGCGTAGATGCGTGTATGTTTGATTGCTGCGTTTGTTGGATGGCTAGTTTGGTTTCTCCTATAGCTCAGTTGGTAGAGCGTGCGGCTGTTAACCTCAAGGTCGCTGGTTCAAATACAGCTGGGAGAGCTCCTTTGCACCACGCGCTGTCCAGCCTCATATTGAGCAGCATCTCGTGCACGACGTCGCTTCTACTGTCATTAGATGCACCGATGCTCCGTTATCGACGCCATCACCACCGTATTGGACCGTTCGAATGCGATGCATGTTGCGACATTCTGATCGATGGTCGAGTCCCACCCGGTCTTGGTGACAACATCTTGGTTTTGTTCTTTCTCTGGTGTCAGACCAGCTGCTTTGTCTCTGTTGTTGCCTTTGTCAGAAGACAGGCTAACGAACTCGAGTGTGAGCTCAAGCAATCGGATACTGCCTATGACCCGGTGTCAGCTGTCAGTGTAAGTGCTGGTCGTATCCGATCATCATCAGGAAAATGTCCTGTCATGTAATTTGTTGTCTTTTCAGCACAGCACAACCACTGTAGAGGCTTCCTGATACACGGCAGGTTTCAGGAGAAGCAGGTGATAGCTTGTATATAAGCTCACCGAATGTTGCTACTTAAGGGTAAGCGTGGCTACTACCAACGTCGCGAGCAAGTTGCGATGCAGATATGAACAGAATCTCGAAGGACATTCAGACACAGCGCAATCTGACGGACAAGACGGCGCGTTGGACAGCTGTGTGCGTGTGCGTAGATGCGTGTATGTTTGATTGCTGCGTTTGTTGGATGGCTAGTTTGGTTTCTCCTATAGCTCAGTTGGTAGAGCGTGCGGCTGTTAACCTCAAGGTCGCTGGTTCAAATACAGCTGGGAGAGCTCCTTTGCACCACGCGCTGTCCAGCCTCATATTGAGCAGCATCTCGTGCACGACGTCGCTTCTACTGTCATTAGATGCACCGATGCTCCGTTATCGACGCCATCACCACCGTATTGGACCGTTCGAATGCGATGCATGTTGCGACATTCTGATCGATGGTCGAGTCCCACCCGGTCTTGGTGACAACATCTTGGTTTTGTTCTTTCTCTGGTGTCAGACCAGCTGCTTTGTCTCTGTTGTTGCCTTTGTCAGAAGACAGGCTAACGAACTCGAGTGTGAGCTCAAGCAATCGGATACTGCCTATGACCCGGTGTCAGCTGTCAGTGTAAGTGCTGGTCGTATCCGATCATCATCAGGAAAATGTCCTGTCATGTAATTTGTTGTCTTTTCAGCACAGCACAACCACTGTAGAGGCTTCCTGATACACGGCAGGTTCCAGGAGAAGCAGGTGGTAGCTTGTATATAAGCTCACCGAATGTTGCTACTTAAGGGTAAACGTGGCTGCTTCCTACGTCGCGAGCAAGTTGCGATGCAGATATGAACAGAATCTTCAAGAACATTCAGGCACAGCGCAATCTGACGGACAAGACGGCGCGTTGGACAGCTGTGTGCGTGTGCGTAGATGCGTGTATGTTTGATTGTTGCGTTTGTTGGATGGCTAGTTTGGTTTCTCCTATAGCTCAGTTGGTAGAGCGTGCGGCTGTTAACCTCAAGGTCGCTGGTTCAAACCCAGCTGGGAGAGCTCCTTTGCACCACGCGCTGTCCAGCCTCATATTGAGCAGCATCTCGTGCACGACGTCGATTCTGCTGTCATTAGATGCACCGATGCTCCGTTATCGACGCCATCACCACCGTATTGGACCGTTCGAATGCGATGCACGTTGCGACATTCTGATCGATGGTCGAGTCCCACCCGGTCTTGATGACAACATCTTGGTTTTGCTCTTTCTCTGGTGTCAGGTCAGCTGCTTTGTCTCTGTTGTTGCCTTTGTCAGAAGACAGGCTAACGAACTCGAGTGTGAGCTCAAGCAATCGGATACTGCCTATGACCCGGTGTCAGCTGTCAGTGTAAGTGCTGGTCGTATCCGATCATCATCAGGAAAATGTCCTGTCATGTAATTTGTTGTCTTTTCAGCACAGCACAACCACTGTAGAGGCTTCCTGATACACGGCAGGTTTCAGGAGAAGCAGGTGATAGCTTGTATATAAGCTCACCGAATGTTGCTACTTAAGGGTAAGCGTGGCTACTACCAACGTCGCGAGCAAGTTGCGATGCAGATATGAACAGAATCTCGAAGGACATTCAGACACAGCGCAATCTGACGGACAAGACGGCGCGTTGGACAGCTGTGTGCGTGTGCGTAGATGCGTGTATGTTTGATTGCTGCGTTTGTTGGATGGCTAGTTTGGTTTCTCCTATAGCTCAGTTGGTAGAGCGTGCGGCTGTTAACGTCAAGGTCGCTGGTTCAAATACAGCTGGGAGAGCTCCTTTGCACCACGCGCTGTCCAGCCTCATATTGAGCAGCATCTCGTGCACGACGTCGCTTCTACTGTCATTAGATGCACCGATGCTCCGTTATCGACGCCATCACCACCGTATTGGACCGTTCGAATGCGATGCATGTTGCGACATTCTGATCGATGGTCGAGTCCCACCCGGTCTTGGTGACAACATCTTGGTTTTGTTCTTTCTCTGGTGTCAGACCAGCTGCTTTGTCTCTGTTGTTGCCTTTGTCAGAAGACAGGCTAACGAACTCGAGTGTGAGCTCAAGCAATCGGATACTGCCTATGACCCGGTGTCAGCTGTCAGTGTAAGTGCTGGTCGTATCCGATCATCATCAGGAAAATGTCCTGTCATGTAATTTGTTGTCTTTTCAGCACAGCACAACCACTGTAGAGGCTTCCTGATACACGGCAGGTTTCAGGAGAAGCAGGTGATAGCTTGTATATAAGCTCACCGAATGTTGCTACTTAAGGGTAAGCGTGGCTACTACCAACGTCGCGAGCAAGTTGCGATGCAGATATGAACAGAATCTCGAAGGACATTCAGACACAGCGCAATCTGACGGACAAGACGGCGCGTTGGACAGCTGTGTGCGTGTGCGTAGATGCGTGTATGTTTGATTGCTGCGTTTGTTGGATGGCTAGTTTGGTTTCTCCTATAGCTGAGTTGGTAGAGCGTGTGGCTGTTAACCTCAAGGTCGCTGGTTCAAACCCAGCTGGGAGAGCTCCTTTGCACCACGCGCTGTCCAGCCTCATATTGAGCAGCATCTCGTGCACGACGTCG